GGGCCGGAGGCGCGGGCGGCCCGGCCACGCCCAGCACTGCACACACGCCAACAAAAGAAGAAGAAACCAAGAAGAGAACGAACACATCACGATGAGAAGGGAAGACGATGAAGAAGAGGCCGGGTCCAACGTGTGGAGGCACGCACCGCCGGATGGAGGCGCGGGCGGCGCGCCGTAGACAGACTGGCGAACGGCGTTGAGGATGGCCTTCCTGGTCTCCGGGTCCTGGTAGAGGTGGTGGTGACGCAAAAGAAAGCCAGGTGCGGCGGAGTAGAGCGGCACAGGTGAGTGGAGAGCGAGAGGCGGAGAAAGTGAGCTTCAAAGAAAAGCAACACCAAGACCGCACCTGGAGCTCGCTCTTTTTGACGCCCGCCTCCATGAACAGTCGCTTCCACTCGGCTGGAATGTTGCGCACCTGCACTCGCCATTAGAGCTCTCAATCTCAGATTGCAGATAGCATGGTCATCGATGCGCTCTCTACACAAAATGGAATGTGCAAGGACCCCCCCAAGATGGAAGGAAGAGAGTAGAGCGAGTCGTGGAGTACCTCGAAGCCGTGGTCCATGTCCCAGCCTACGTGGGTGTCGTGCGAGAAGTTGGTAGGCCCGCTGATGGAGGCACCCACGAAGCCCTTGCCGCGCTTCTTGGCCTCCTTGGCCTCCTTCTTCTTCTGCTCCTTCATCTCCTTTTCCTTCTCCTTGATCCTCTTCCTCTCCTCCTTATACTTCAGCTTGGCCGCCTTCTTGTCCAAGAGAGCCGGCGATGCCGCTGCCGCAGATCCGTTCATCTTGTGTTGTAGCTTGTTGTTATTGATCGATGGTGTGTGCTTTCAGCGCGTCCACCCCTTGTGATTGAGAAGTGATAATCTACAGAAGAACAATAGAGATAAGAAGAGATCAAAAATCTTATGGGTTGTGATGAAGAGAGCCGCTACGATACGAGGTTGAAAGAAGATGCACGAGCAGAAGAGAGTGGAGGCTGGTGTGGTGACTAGCGCACGCGAGGGTTGTGTCGGTGGCCCAAAGGCAGCAATTCGAACAACATCGAATTAATTATTGCTGCTAATTATCAGATTAACAGGAATGTAGAGAATGCTGACGTCACCAAAAATAAAAACTCATCTGGCCGTGGTCGCTGGTGGGTCCAGCATGCTCAGCAGGCCCATCGCCAACAGGCCTGACATGAAACACGTATACATGTTAGATAGGTAGGAGGTGAGGAGAGAGGTGTGCAGTGTGATTGCGAAGGTGAACGTACCGAAGAAGAAGAGGCAGGCCTTGGGCACGATGCCCTTGTGCGTGGAGAACTCCTCCACCACGGTGCCCAGAATGCCGACGTACAGGAAGGTACCTGCAGCGTGATCAAAGACCGCACGTGTTGAGCAGCTTCTCTACGCTGGATGGCGTAGTGGGGAGAAAGGGGAAGAAAGGCGACGACTACGACGATGTTCGTACCGACAGTGATCGACTGGAGGACAGACGACACACTCTCCAACGCGCTCGCCGAAACCGAGTTCTCGATCAGGATGCCTGGCCAAACGTACGCGCATTGTTGTAACGAGTAGAGCCATGAGATCTAGGCGCACCATTCGATTTGCAGGAGGTAGACAGGGTAAGAGGTACCTGTCACGATGCCGAGCGGGGTGATGGCCGAGTAGGTGAGCATGAGCCACACCCACTTGCGGCTGCTGATGTTCGTGTTGACGAGCTTGACCCCGATGGCAAAGGTCTCGGCGGACTTGTGCACCGCGAGGCCTGGCGCGCACATGAAAGGAAATTGGAGTGAGTCAGAAGGATTCTCGAATCAAACAAGAACCAGCGGCATGCGGTGACGTCACTGCCGACGTACCGATGAGAATGACGATGGCGGTGATGAAGCGGCGGGTGAGAGCAAGCGCCATACCCTCGAAGAACGAATGGAAGGAGAGACCTGCCAGCAGGTTGTCGCCACGTGTGAGTGTTGGCGCTCGCAGCCATGGGCATTGACATCGCAGAGGGAGGAATGTGGTTCGCACCGACGGTGAGGATGTAGGGCAGCAGCGGCGATTCCACGTTCAACGGGAGGCCGTGCGAGTGGCCGTGGCCTTGCGAGTGGCCATGGGAGGCAGAGTCGTGCTGGTGCGTCGTTCCGTGCTTCTTCTTCTTTTTCTTCGCTTTCTTAATGGCCGGTGCGTCGCCATTGACGGAGAGTTCCGCGCCGTCAGCGTCACCATCGTCGCCGCCGTCCAGCACAATCGCCTGCGCGTCCTCGTCGCCGACGGCCTCCATGTCGTCAAGATCGCCAGCACCAAGATCTTGGAGCTCCTCCGAATCATCGATCTTCTCGAACTTGTTGTTGCCGCTGGCTCGCTCGCTCAGCCAGGTGAAGAACTTCTCCACGAGCAGGATGAGCATGAACCCACACAGCGCCAGGAAATAAATAAGCGGGAACCCCTGTCGAGTACCAAGAAAGAGAAGAAGAAGAAGAAGAAGCACACAGTCCTTATTAGTCGCAATCAGGGAAGCAAAGCAAGCGCCTGGGTCATGGAGAGGTACATTGGTGTCGGCTTTGAAGTCCTGTCTGTCAAGAAAAAAGAAAACGCGATTGGAGCTGAGGTTAGCATCACAAAGGGGAGACGGTGCCTGGACAGTCACATCACTCGCTCAATCCAACCTGGGGCCACTCCACTCTCTAGTCCACTCCACTCTCTTTACTTAGCCTCCACCAGGGAATGCGCATCGACGTACGCAGCCTCCGGCAGGATGTGCAGGAAGCCAAAGCCGAGGAATATGCCACCACCTGAGAGCAGAGCAGCGCGGCACAGCATCAAGTGAGAAGTGAGAGCACGTGCAAGGTGCGGCGAATAACATACCGAGACAGTTCATCCAGGAAAACAGTCGTTGTCGCTGCTCGGTCATCTCCAACTGAGCCGTTCTGAGGATGAACGGAGGAATGCTGGAGATGGAGGAAAACTGAGCATTCAAGACAAGAGAAAGGGGCAAAGCTTTGTGTAGGGTGATGTGAGCCAGAGCACGTACGTGCCAATAATCGTGCAAAAAAACACGACGAAGATGGCAAAGATTTTGACGCCCAGGGCCGGATCTTCCGTTGATTCGGCCATGCTTATCTGTGTTGAGTCGCCCTCTTGATTCGTTCGCCACCACCTCCTCTTTCTCTTGCGCTACGCGAACGATCTCAGCACACCACAGACTTGCTCGCCGAAAGGAAAATGGAAGAAAAAAGATAAATAAATATTTCCTGCAGTCGGTGACGTGGCGAGTTGACTCAACAGAAGAGCATGGTCCAGAGCTTGATGGCGGCGTCGTCGGACGCAGAGAGGATGCCGTTGGGCAGAAGCTCGAGGCACTGGATCGAAGCCTGGTGCCCTTTGAGCTCGCGCAGCAGCTCGCCGGTGGGAAGGTGCCACACCTGGACATACATTCACACTTGGTTGGTTAGAAGCTGGACGGCCCAAAGACCTTACACTCCTCCACGCGTGGCGGCGTCCGCACCTTGATGCTCCTGTCCTTGCTGAGCGAAACAACGACGTGGCCATTTGGTTCGACCGCGATCGCATTCACCCACTCAGTGTGGCCGGTCAACGTGCGCACACACTCCCGTCGCTCGAGATCCCACACCTGCAGGTCACGACAGGCGGAGAAAGAATGAACGAGAATGAGCACCAGGACAGAAAGAAGGCAAGCTCGGTGGAGCCCGGAGGAAGCATTGGGTGGGGGGGCGTGCCTTGATGGTCTTGTCGTTGCTCGCTGAGACCAGCGTCCTGTCGCCCACGGCACGGACGCAGGTGACAAAGTCGGTGTGACCCTCCAGCGTGCCGACGCACTCGCCCGTGTAGAGATTCCACAGCTTGATGGTCTTGTCGAAGGAGGCCGAGGCGATGATCGGGCTCGGAGCAGAGGAAGAAGACGATGAAGACGAAGAGGAGGGGGAGGACGCAGAACGAATGATCGCCAGCGAAGAAATGGACCCGGTGTGGCCTTCGAGGGAGTTGAGCAGCTCACCGGTCCGAACGTCCCAAACCTAGCAGAGGGATTGCATCCGTGAGCAAACGGAAGAAGATGAAGAAGAAGAAGAAGAGGAAGGAGGGCGCGCGGCAGTACCTTGACCGTTCGGTCAGCAGAGCCGGAGACCAGCAGGTGACCAGCGAGCTTGACGGCGTACACGGTGCCCTTGTGGCCCTTGAAGGCCAGAAGAGATTCGCCGGTGGAAAACTTCCAGGTGAGGATCACCTTGTCCGCCGAGCCCGAGGCCAGCATGTCTCCTTGAGCGTCCTGCGTGAGGGAGGGGGGGGGCGAGCACCAGCGAGAGTTTAGCGAGAGATGAGAGACGGTGGCGTCACGAGTGAACAACTACCGTACCAGAGAGTACACGCCGGCCGCATGTCCTCGCAGACGACGAAGGCATCGTCCCCCTTTGACGCTCCACACGAGGATGGTCTTGTCCTACACGCCGTGTAGAACAGTCGTCATGGTCAGTCTGGCTGGCGTTGTATAAGGCCTTCTGTCAGAGACGTGCTTATGGCTGAGGGAGCGGGCACCTGTGAGCCAGAGGCGACTTCGTCTCCCTTCTCGTTGAGCTTTAGCGCGAAGACCTGGCCGGCGTGGTTGACCTCCCCCTTGAATGCTCGCACCGTGTAGCCCGATGTTCGCCAGTTGAGGATTCGGATTTGAAGCCGCTGCACGCGCGAAACGCAAAGGCGTGTTGGCCGATTTGAACAAAACACCGAGATGAGAGGTGGAGATCGAACCTGCTGGGCGAGCTGGCGTTCCAGTTCCACGATTTGACGCGCCTGGAAAGTGAGGAGTCGCTGCATGTCCTCCATGTGAGGCGATTCCGTGTCGCGCACGCGAGCTGTGTACGGAGACGCGGACGACGCGGACATCCTAGAGCTCTGTGGTGTGTAGGATCCCGAAGAAGATGGAGACGGCGATTTGGCTTCAACCACTTCCTGATTTTCGGATTCGAAAGAGGCACTACACGAAATCATGCGTTAATCGGAGGGGCCGCAAACCGGCGCCAAGGCAGAAGCGAAATTCCAGAAGAACGAAGCGGGCGCGTACGATTTGGCAGGTGGCGTGGCCGGGCTGTCGGTGAAGACCTCGACAGATCGCTCATCGTTGGTCTCGGCAAGCTCGGCTGGGACCTCTTCCGTTCTCTCCATTTCGATAAACAAGACAAGGCGCAAATGCCAGAGATCTGCGGGTAAGAATTTTCAAGCTACATTTTTATTTTCGTTTGGGGAACGAAATCAGTATTCAAATTATCGGGGGAACATGTTCATTGGCTCGTGCCCGTTCGAGCAAGAGTTGAGCTACATGGGCTATGCTACAACGATTAGGACAAGTGTAATAGTTTGCAGCTTCAGGAGAACGTGTAGGTGAGCTTGGTGTTTCTGGTGGCTGCCTCCTTCAGTGCAAACACTCCCTCGTCTGTGAGGGCATTGCCGGCCAGTTTCACGTGCGTCAGTCCTGCAGGAAAGATGTTGTGAGCATAAATAAGTGAGGTACATTGGTGGCTAGCGACGATAGAAAACGAACCGTTGTTGAGCCTGAAGATCTCCGCCAGTGCCACCGCACCGTCAAGGTCGATCCTATTCTCGCACAGGTCCAGCTTCTTCAGCACCAGGTTGCGCTTCAGACCATCAGCCAAGGACTGCGAAAAAGAGAGAAAGCACCAGGCATGAGCTCAATCATTCAGCTCAGACTTGTGATTGGGGACCCACCTGGACGCCTTGAGACGTGAGGCCGTTCTTCTTGACGATTAGCTCCTCGAGGGTGGCATTTTTCCGCAGCAAGGCGGCGATGCTGGTGCCGCCCGTTTTCCGGAGGTTGCAGGAGGCGATGTTGAGGAAGGTGAGCGCGTGGTTGTTCTCCAGGGACTCGCACAGGTACATCCCGCCCTCGGCCGTGATGCGGTTGCCCTCCAGCCCGAGGCCGCAGAGCACGCGATTGGCCTTGAGCATGTCGGCCAGTGAGCGGGCACCCACTTGGGTTATGTGGTTCCACCCCAGGTCAAGGTGCGTCAGGTTCTGCAAGAGCCACGAAAAAAAAATCAAGTTAATAACTAGGCCTCTGTGGTGGCGCGAACGTGAGCGTATGTGCCTTGTTGTTGGCTAGAATGGCAGCAATGTCCTTGGCACCCGCGTCGCTTATCCGGTTGAGCTGCAGATTGAGAGTGCTCACAGTCGCTGTCGTAAGGTGTTAGACAGCGAGCATTCATTGGATCTCCGATAATCATTCAAGAAGGGCTGCAATAGTACCGTTGGTCCTAAGTGCTTCCGCCAAGGCGGCAACGCCCTCATTGTCGAGGTTGTTGCCGCTGGCGTAGACATTCTTAAGGTGTTGGTTGGCGGTCAGCAGGCTCGCAAGCGCCTTTCCACCTTCTACACCGAGTCGGTTGCCTGATACGTCGAGAGTTGTGACCGTGAGGTTGCCCTCCAGCGCCGAGCTCAACTCCCTCATGCCCGCCGGGCCGATGAAGTTGCCCTGCAGCCAGGTGGCGTCAGGTCGGCGTTGCACCACGACCAAGTTGAGTCTGGGCCCGTACCTTGAGGCTCAGGGTGTGGAGATGGCCGCTGGCGAATATTCCCTTGGCCAGGGAAGCAGCACCTGCTGGTCCGATGCCATTGCTCCACAGGTCCAGCGACCTGATGGGCACTCTCCGCTCCAGGGCTCTGCCTAGGGCCACGCCGCCCTCGACTCCCAGTCCCATCCCCGCCAACACCACGTCCGTGACCCCACAGCCGCCTGATTTCCGACACCCGGTGTTTAGTGCTTGACATTAGGGATTTAAAAGAGAATTTTAGGTTACCTTGTAACGTGTCGACGAATGCGGAGAGGCTTGTAGCGTCCATGGTGTTGCGCGTCAAGTTGAGCCAGGTGAGTGACTTGTTGCCTCGCAGCGATCTCGCCAGCTCGACCACGCCCCGTGAGCCGATGTTGTTGTCCTGAAGGTTGAGGCGCTGCAGCACTGTGTTCTTCTTTAGGGCCTCCGCTGAGAATTTACAAAGTGAGAAGGTTTGCTTATATAATGCATCGCCGATCCTCAACTCATGCGAAGATTGTAGGCTATACCAATCTCCTTAATACCGTGGCTGGTGATTGCGTTGCGGGATAGGTTGAGCTGAGTCAGCGCGGGGTGCTGGGCAAGCCCAGCCGCCAACGGCGCCACGCCCTTCGGCCCCAGCTCGGCGAAGGACAGGTTGAGTGACGTGAGAGACTTGTTCTCGCGCAGGGCTTCGCCGAGCGCATCGGCCGCCTGTGGATTGTTGATCGAGAGTGAGACAAAATCGTTATGGTGGGGTGGCGAAATCAGCGCCGTACGCTCTCGTCGATGGCGTTGGCAGCGAGGCTGAGCGTGCGTAGCGTGGATGAAGACGCCAGATAGGTGGCTATGGAGACGCAACACTCGAACGTGAGCGAGCTATTCTTGCACTTGAGCGTCGAGAGCGTCTTGTGCACGGCGAAGGATTCACATAGCGCGCTGACCGAAGGGTTGGGTATTCTGCCCAGTCGAAGAAAAACAATGTAAGCACCAATAAGAAAGGATAAAAACAAAATAATAAAAGAACAAAAAAATAGAACGCTTCAAGTACTTGACGTGGCTCAGGTCCATTGCGACGATGGTGGTGTTCACTCGCATCGCGTCGGCCACGGCCTTGAACTGTTTGGACTTGGCGTGGGTCCCTCGAAAGCTCACCGAGCGGATGGTGTTGTGCTTGATCCCCTTGACCACCTTCTCCAGGTCTCGGTCGGCCTGCCTCTCGGCCGCGTCTTCGTCGCTCTGTGTCGCGGTGCATGACAATGAGAACAACAAGAGGCCGTGATGAGGCGAACAAGAGTGGGAAAGCCGTACGAGCAAAGGGGACCGAAAGGGTAAGGGGTCGTGCAGTCCGCTCTTGGACATTGCGCTCGACGAGTTGAGGGTGGAGGAAGTGGTCTTGCTGGACAAGGTGAATTGGAGGAGGGAGTTGCCGGTGGTGGAGGGCGTGGAGGAGGCCTTGGCCACCTGTTGCATGATCTCGCGAAGCACGCGCTCCGTGCTATCGGCCTTCTCAGAGAGCAGCAGCACCTTCTCGTTGGACAATCGGTACTTCTCCTCCAGCACGTCCCTCCCGTCCTTGTTGGCCTCCAGCAACTGGTTCTCCGTGGTTTGGAGGTGTCGCTGTTGTTGTTGTTGTTGGCCGAATAGAGAGTTAATATAGTCAAGTGACAGACCCATACCATGATCAAGCAGAAGTAGTTGGTGTACATACCAGATTGTCCTCGAATCGTGCTTGGCCTTCTTCCACCGCGTCCCGTATCCGTGCGTTCAGCTTCTGCAATGCGTAGCTGTAGTTGTCGCCATCGACCACGCGCTCCCTGAGCGTGGCAACTTCCCTTTCCAGCTCGGCCACTCTCGCTTCTTGGTTCTTGTTCGCTTGCCACTCGTTCACCGACGCTCGCATGTCCAGCATCTACCACACAAAGTTCAATAAAATACCAATAAAATTGAAAGCAATTAAAAACAATAAATACATACCTCGTTGTGTTTTTTCCTCATGGATTCTACATAAGTGTCCTCCAGCTGGCGGAAGGCCGTCTTGAGCTGAAAGAGCACAAGAGTGAGAAGAAGAGCGCTCTTTCCGCACCGTACAGGAGAGCTGGTGGCGTACAGTTTCTATGTCTCGATAGACCATCTTGGTGAAGAGGGAGGTTTGATTGCCCAGGTTGTTTTCGTCAGAATCATCGCTGTAGCGGTACTCGCCCCCCGTCCCGCCGCTCGATCCATAACCGCTCCCATAGGAGGGGGGCGATGGCGAGGCCGTGGGGGAGTAGGCGAGGCTCGAGGCAGAAGTGGAGAGGCCCGAAGCACCGGCCAGCGCGAAGGTTTCCTTCCTATCAGAGGAACTGGCCTTCTTTTTCGCCGAGTAGGCGGAGCCACTCTTTTTTCGTTCGGCGTTGGTGCTCGACATCGTGTAACGAACACACGACTTGAGAGGTGGCACTCTTGCGCTCGTGAAAAAGAGCCTGTTGATGTTGTTGGGCGTAGGGGTGGAATGCCGAATATGTGCCGACCAAAGCGGCGAAAGCCAAGAAAAAGACGCCGTCAGTGATTGGCATCTTAATTCGATTCCACGCTACACGCAACATGGCCGACGATCTCGATGTGGAGGCCCTTCTTGAGGCTTCTCTGAAGTCCACACAGACACATAAGGTACCTTTCACACCTTGGAACAGATTACTCCACAATTTTCTTGATCGCGTATTCTGACCGCGCTCTATTTCTCGCAGGATGCGCCGCAGCAAGAGGCATCTTCCAGCTCAGAGGTAAGCAAGAATGGATCTGCACACGACAAAGTGAGTAGAAGTGAGAAGGAGTCCAAATCCGACTCCAAGGACGACAAACACCGGAAGAGAAGGTAATCAATCAATCCTCTTACCATGCGCACGTGTTTACTCCATCTCGACAATGTAATCATGGCTTCTGCCCGGCGCTCGCTTGTATTTACACTCATCTCTCGCTCTAGGAACGCCGGTTAAATTTCTATAGGTTTTGCGAATTTGGGCTGCGCCCCGTTTGGCTAACTGACCAACGAGGACACCAATTTGCCCAGCCCCAAAAACAATCTAATTTTATCTCTTTTTCTTTCTACGCAGGTCTAAATCGCGTAGCAGGTCCCGCGACCGTCATAGGCACAAGCGCAGGTTTACACCCCCCCTCACACTCCCCATGCGAATACCTCTCCCCTGAACAGTATCGCTAACCCTCTACGCGCAAGCAGGAGGCATTCACGTTCCCGGTCGCGCGATCGCCGTTCGCGTCGTTCGCGCTCTCGCTCTCGCTCACCCCGGGGAAGAGACAGGAGGGACCGTGACAGGGGCAGAGACCGGGACAGCGACCGTGATCGCGACAGGGACCGAGACCGCGATCGCAGGCGAGACAGGGATCGTCGTGGCGCAGGTAAAGATGACGAGATACTCACTCCCGAAGAGCAGGAACGGAGGAGGAAGCAAAAGGAGGCCGAGGAGGCCGATCGGGACGAGCGCACCGTGTTCGCGTCCAATCTTCCCATCCGCGCGAGTGAGTCGGAGCTCTTCGAATTCTTCGGCAAGGCTGGCAAAGTGCATGATGTACGTAGCTTCCGTGCCCCCGCTCGAGCTCTTCGCCGCCTTTCATTCCACGACCGTGTTTGGTGTTCTTACTCGCTAACCGCATAACGCTTCGTGTACCCTCTCTTCGGCGCGGGTCGCAGATCCGTTTGATTACGGATCGCAACTCGCGAAAGTCGAAGGGCTTTGGCTACATCGAGTACCTCGACAAATCCTCTGTTCCCCTTGCGCTGCATCAACTTAACGGCACCCAATGCAAGGGACAGACGGTGCTGGTGCAGATCACCCAAGCCGAAAAGAATCGCGCCGCTGCAGCGGCTGCGGCAGCGGCGGCCAACGCTCCACCGTCCCTCTCTGGTACTCCCCCCCCCACAACCTGTCACCCCGCGCCTGTCTTACATTCCGGCCGTCGTTTCGTTTTCTGATCGTTTTCGTTCTTTTGCCTCTCCAGCGCCCACGCGTCTTTACGTGGGCAATCTGCACACCGATCTCGCGGAGGACGACCTGAGGACGGTCTTCGAGCCGTTCGGCGACATCCAGCAGATCAATCTGCACATTGACCCCGAAACGGGCCGCTCGAAGGGCTTTGCCTTCGTACAGTACAAGTCGCCCGAGGATGCCAAGAAGGCGCTGCAGCACTGCAATGGAATGGAGCTCGCGGGGCGACAGCTGAAGGTGGGCATCGTCTCCGATCCAGGCACCCTCACCGCGGGCGGACCCGGTGCCGGCCTCGGCGGTCCGATCGGCTTCGGAGGCGGTGGAGCCTTTGGCGGCGGCGGCGGCTTCGGAGGTGGCGGCTTCGGAGGCGGCGGCGGCGGCCTCAACGAGCTGGACGACGAAGGCGGCGGTCTGGGCCTCAACGCCCAATCGCGCGCCATGCTGATGGCCCGGCTCGCGGGCCAGACGGGCGGGGCCGGCTTTCCCTCGCTCCCCGGTGCGCCGATGGGCTTCCATGGCATGACCCCGGCCGGCCTGGGTCTCCTGCCCGGCGTCCTGCCGGGTTTGGGCATGCCGGGCATGCCCGGTCTGCCGTCTGCGCTCGGCGGATTGGGCGCCCCCTCTCCGCTCCTGCCCACGGCCGGCGCCATGCCCATGCCCACTCCGATCATCCCGCCGACCGTCGCTCCTCGGCCCGTCGTGGCCTCGGCCTTCATGCTCCTCAAGAACATGTTTGATCCCGCACAGTACGTCATCTCTCTCTTTAACGCACACGCACATGCCAGAGGCTGACTCACTCTCTCTTTTTCTCTTCGTGTGCACAGGGAAACGGAGCCCAACTTCCACCTGGACATCCAGGAGGACGTGACGGAGGAGTGCAGCAAGTACGGCAAGGTGCTGCAGTGCCACGTCGTACGGGATTCCCCCTCGGGTCTGGTCTACCTCAGGTTCGAATCTTCCGAAGGAGGTACCGTATCCCCCCCCCCCAAGCCACCAGACCACTGCCTTTCCCCATCGCGTTCTTAAAAACAAACTAACGTTCTCTTTTTCATCGCTCTATACAACAACAAACAAACAACAACAGCGGCCAAGGCGATCCAAGCGCTGAACGGTCGTTGGTTCGCTGGCAAGGTAATCTCGGCCGAGTTCATCGACGAGAACACCTTCGCCGCCGGCTGCAAGCTGTGAGTGCTGCCCCCACGCGAATCGGCACCCACCAATGCAACAATCTCCTGCTCACCAATAAAAACGTGCTTGTGGATTGGTGCGCACAATTTCTTTCGGGGTACCCGGCCATCAGTGTCAACACAACATCACTACTGCTGCAGGCCACCACATCATGCCTCAGGGCCTCCTTGTCTTTCTCGTCGTCGTCACGATGACCTTCGCCGGGGCGACGTTCTCTCCGGCGGCCGAGGTGGTCTCCGGCTGGGCTGCGCCGGTGAAGCTGGCCTGGTCCAAGCCCCTGGGCGTCGGCGTGGCGATGGCCCCTCCCTCGATCGGCGCCGACGCCGATCTGGTGCTGGTGCCCACCATGAACGTGACCGGGGAGGACTTGGCTCGCGAGTTCTACCTGGAGGCCCACTCCCTGACCTCCGGTGCGATCGAGTGGAGGCGCCAGCTGAGTCCGAAGCAGGGCGGGTGCCCGCGCGTGCAGGAGGACAGCCTGCCCTTCACCACCAGCTCCTTCGTCGGCAACGGCGAGGTGGTGGCCAACTTCTGGTTCCAGGAGGACATCAACACCCACTGCTCCGGCTTCGTGCTCCTCGACTGCAAGGTGATACACAGTGTACACTTTCTTAATATTGCTACATATGAACCCCCCCAATCATTAACCTGGTCAACACGCATGTAGACAGGCAACATCAAGTCGCGACAAACTGTGGATGCAGGATTCTCGTACACGGCCAACATCAAGGACCTCCTCTACATCGCCCGCATCGAGGCCAACCTGTTGTCCATGACCAACAACGAGCTCTTCCGCCTGGCGCCGCCCACCTTCGAGCTGGCCGAGCCCGCAGCCAACTTCTCGTGGCCCATCATGGACATGGCCGAGGTGAGCCAGGAGCCCAACATTCTGGTGAGCCCGTGGCAGCGCTTGCTGGTGCTGTTCCAGGCCAGCACTGGGGCGATGGCCCTCATGGGACTCGACCTGACAACGCTGCAGCCTCTGTGGTCCACCAAGGCCCCCGCTAGGGCCTCCTGGGCGAGGCTGCAGCTGTCGGGACCTCGCCACAACATCATCCTCTTGAAGACCAACGCCTACTTCCGACCGCCGTACAACACGTCGATCGCCGCTTACAATGCCGCCAATGGCCACCTCCTGTGGCAGGTGAGAAAGGGTCTTCATGATGTGCCATGGCCCATGTTGATGCTTTTTGTAGAGACTCACGCTACTTGCTCTTCTCTCTTTTTGGTGGTTTCCAGCACACTGTAGTGTGGAACTCCATGCCGGTGACGACCCTGCATGGCGTGGTTGAGCAGGGCAAGCAACAGCTGGTGTGCGCCACCTACCAGGTCCTTGACGCCACCATGCTGATGTGCCACAACCCGTTCACTGGCGATCTGGCCTTCAGCAAGCAGCTCACCGCGCAGCAACACTTCTGGGCCATCTACCACCAATGGCTACTGGTCCAAGACGTGGCCAAAGGGCAGCTGATGGCCATCGATCCCTTCACCCGCACCAGGGCCTGGACCATCCCCATCGAAGAGGGCTCCACGCGCATCGACATGGCCGATGGCAACAGCTTCCTCCTTCTCTCATCTGCCACCGGCCTTGCTAAGTGGTCTGTCTACTCCAGCTCTTGAAATTGTTCACGAAACACAAAAGAGAATACAAAACGGTTTCGGGTCTGTTTGGTGTTGAGAAAAAATGGGCTACAGACAGGCCAGGGGGGTGGCATCACCAGACTAGATCATTAGTCGTCGAGGTTGCTGTCCTGGCTCTCGAGCAGTTGCTGCTCGCCGGCAGCGAGTTCGCGCGCCTTCTTGAGTCGTCTGTGGTACTTTCGCAGCTGATGCACGAACCCCTCGTTCGGCTGAATGCACCGTCGCGCCCGACGTACGGACATGAAGGCCTTTTCGTAGTTCATCCCCACCTCGGAGATGAGGTACGCTATCACCACGCTCGTGCTGCGCGATATCCCCGCCGCGCTAGAACACACACACACACCACACACCACACACGACACACACGACACACACACAAGCCATGCGACATGTGAGCCTCTACCAGGGCAGAAGTGCGGGGGGGGGAGAGCGGTACCAGTGGATGAGGATGCGTTGGTTGGAGCCGATGACCTCCTTGATGAAGTCGTTGGTTCGGTCCAGGTGCGGCATCAGGTCAGCCGATGGGACATCGTCGATCTCTATAAATACATGCTGTCACCACAACAGTCCACACCGCACAACAACAACATTCCACACAACAACATTCCACCAGGAGGTCAGTCGGACTGGCCCAGTCACCACCGCGGCGGCGGGGAGGTGGTGGGGGGGAGGTGGCACCTTGAAATGGGGCGGGTATATCCGCCGGGTGAGGCTCTTGACGGAGGCCTCCTTCTTGGCCTCCCGCTTGGCCTCTTCGTCGTCTTCGTTGTTGTTGCTGCCGTCGTCGCCATCGATCACCTCGTCGTCGTCGTTTTCGTCGTTTGGTGGTGCACCGCTCTCCGCCGCCTCCTGGTCGTCCGTTTTTGTTCGCTTCGGTCGCTTGACCCCGATCTTCTCCGACTTGAACGGGAACTCGCCCACCGAGAGCACGTTGATTATTCGATTCACCTCCAGCCACTTTACATTCTCTGCACACGTCCACGAACCGGGGGGGAGGACAGAGAAGAAGAACGAAGAAGGTGAGAAAGCGAAGAAGGTGAGAAGAACGAAGAAGAAAAGAGAGTGGACACGAAGGCGATGGTGGGAGGAGTATGATGTGAGTTGCATGTTGTGGGGGAGGGAGAGGGTTGTACCGGCCGAATGCACGCCGCCGAGATAGATGGCGGCGGAGGAGTTGCCCGAGGGGTCCTTCCACACCACCTGGGGAATGTGCTGATGGCAATACGACACCCGGCACTGACTCCGCTCCATCTGCTCCAGGAAATCGTGCATTTCGCTGATATGGCGCAACAACACACAGACACGCGTGAGAATTGAGCCGCGACGCACGCACGCGTGCGTGCAACCGGTGGTGGAGAACAAGAACGCGCCGCACCTGAGGTCGAGGTAGTTCTGCTGGATGGAGAGCCAGTGGAGGGCGTGCTTGAAGGCCAGCTCGGAGAGCTGCGTGTAGGGCAGCGCGTGGAAGTGGTTGGAGCACAGGTGCAGCTTCTGCAGGCTCGTCATCGCACTGAACTCGTCGGCTGTCGGACGACACACATTCACGACACACACACGCACACGCACGCACACACACCATACACGAGCGTTAGCTTGGCCTTGCGTGCCGTGATGCCGCTACACGCGTTTCATAACAAGAGAGGGTTGCATACTGGGAAAGGTCTCCATGGTGAGCTTGTTGTTGTTGAGGTTGAGGATCTCCAGCTTGGAGAGCTTGAGCACGACCTGGGGGAAGGTGGAGAAGTTGTTGGACTGCAGCTCGAGGTGCCGCAGGTTCTTGGCCAGGAGGTCGAATTCAATGGGGAGGTCGGCCAGCTTGTTCTTGCTCAGGTCGAGGTGCTCCAGCCGCTCGAAGTGGTGCCATTTCGGTATCTGGGGGGGAGGGGGCAAAGGGAAGAAAGATGCCGCGCGCGTAGTCACTGATGTCAGTGCGAGTGTTGTGTTGTCGACGAGCAGAGGCAAGACAAAGAGAACAAATGATCCAATCAAAAGCTCGTAAAATGGGAAGTGAAAAGGATCACGAGGGCCTCTACAACGTCGCTACAAATGGATGGAGATTGAAAATGAATGGGATGTAAGATGATGACAAAAAGGCGCACCTCCTTGGGAATGGTAGAAAGTTGGAGCGTAGTGCAAGACAATCGCTTGGTGCACTTGGCCTCCTTCAGACGTGTCTTCAAATCGTAGTTGCCGTACTCAACAAGAGCCGATTTTGAATCCTTGGCTCCCATATGTGAATCTCGCTGTACAGGCAACGCAGATTAAATTGGCAATCCATTCGGAGCGAGAGGTCATGCACCACATACCTGGGTCGTTTTCTTTTGGGACGGCAAGAGGGACAACAAGATCTCCCGCGTCGACGTAAGATGAACGACAACAACAACAATTACGATTTGAACTTGCCGGAAGCTGTGTGCTTTTTGGAATCAAGAGGCGCGGTAAGAAGAAATATGCAGCGATCACCCGGTCGCCAGGCTCCGGGCCAGCCCCGCTCCCGTTGGAGTACGCGTTCGACAGTCCTCGGTCCGTTCACCACCATCATCGCCACCGTCGTCTTCTTCTTCTTCAATCCAACAGCCACCACCACCGTCGTCGTCCACGGGTCTAGCAAGTTGGTTTATTTTGTACAAAGTAAAAGCGGTGAAGAGGAGAACAGGAACCGAGGCCGTTTCGAAGAGAGAGGAGGTGCTTGTGTGATAGGCGGTATCAGGCGAGGGGGAAGGCGTAGAACATCTTGTAGAGCGGACGTCCCACGTCGTCGTAGATGACGTGGTAGAAGGCGCGAACCGGGACTTCCTGCAGGTCCCCGCGGCGGATGACGAGGTCGTCCTGGCCCGACGACTTGAGCCCAGACTGGTGGTCATTCGCACAACAACAAGACAGAGCGTTCGGGGTAAGATGATGACATGAACAGCTTTCGTGTAACACAGAGCGCACGCAGAGCGCGGGCAACAAAAGAGTGAGCGAGCGAGTTGCGTGTACCATGATGTCCTTGTAGTCCTTGCACAGCTTGGACTTGAACCTCTCGGGGAAGAGCTGGCAGCAGGTGAAGCCCGGCGTGGCGAGCTGGTCGAACGAGTAGCCCACCAGGTCGCGGAAGGTCTCGTTGGCCTGCAGGACGGCTCCGTGTCGCTCCTCGGAGAGGGCGAACATGGCCAGCGCTGGCACGCCCTTGCGGAACTCGTCGGCCGGTCCGATGTTCTGGAGCTGGACGAGGGACTGCATGGTGATGTTGTGCTGCTCGCGAAGCTTCTCCCGCTGCTTGAGCTCCTTGATGTCGTCGAGCGCGCTGCGCAGAAGACGCTCGAGTCGGTCGTTTTTGGCCTTCATCTCCTGGAGAATGTTCACCGTCCGGCTGCTGACCGAGCCCGGCGACAACGGCGCCACGGCTGGCGAAGGTGGCTTGATCATGGGTGGCTGGAACAACAACAACGTCAGGCGAGTCAGAAGAGAGAGAATGAAGATGGTGATGGTGATGGTGACGGTGATGACGACAACGTACCTGCGACACACGCGAGTGACCGACTGTGGGCATGGGAGCGAGCTGCATCATGCCGCCCGAGTTCTTCAGCCAACTGCGCTGCGACATGATGCCCAGTTGCTGGGTGTCGGGCGAAGACTGGGCGCTGTTTCGTTGGCTCTCCTCGGCGGGCGAGGTGGGTGCCGACGAGGACGACGTAGAAGATGGGGACGAGTCGCCGATCAACTGCGAGAGCCAGGTGTTGTCCGCTTCCACAGCGAAGGGAGAGCTCTGAGGGCTCTCCACAGTGTAGGGCGAGGTAGCTGGAGGCATTGAAAAAGATACATGAGGCGCTACTCGATTGAAGATGTTTGGAGATTGAAGGACGGCGGGTGTGCGTACACGAAGGCAGAAGCGGCAGACCATAGTCCTTGGGCTGTGATTGCGGTGGAATGTTGGTGTTCACGAGCGGGAAGGCGTACTCATTGCCGAACAGCTGGTGAAGAGTGGCATTCCACAAACCCTGGTCTGAATCATAAAGGAATGGCCAAGTCAGCAAAAAAGAACGAAGGCAGTCTTAATGTCTCGATTGAATTCAACAGCCAAAGGTGAAATGCAGGCCTACCTGGCTGGCCTCCCTCGAACAAATTTGCTGGTGGGTTTCTCCTCATCTCCTCCATTTTGATCGCGGCGTCGTTGTCGACGAGGGAGCCGTTGCTATTGGAGTCGTCGTCGTCTTCTTCTTCGTCCTTGATGCTGTGCATCTTCCTCTTCTTGAAATTGGTCCTCTTCTTTCGTGGCAGGTACTGGCACGAATCGGCAAGGCCATGCTCCACGCAACGCTTGCAGGGAATCTCGTGACTGCAGGCCACATGGCTCGAACGGCAATTCGAGCACGCCGCTCGCACCTTGGCAGCCGAGCTGGCACTCGCGGTGGTGACGCTACTCGATTCTCGGGGGCTCGTTACTTGCTTGGCTCGCTTCACGCCCTTGACCGGTCCCTGGATTTCTTCTACGCCATCATCGTCTTCATCACCCACCAGCTGCTGCTGAATATAAATGTTGTTGTGTGCGTCTACGGGAGGCACGACCAGATCGAAGGTCGGCGGGAAGCTGAACCCGGCCGCCGACGCCATGTCGTCGTTCAGTAATTGATAAAATGCGGGAAACAAATCCAAATCCGAATGCGGCGGCTGATGGGCCATGGCTTCTTTCTTTTGTCTTCTTCCTCTTCGTTTGTGGTGGTCTCGCCGAGAAGATGAAGGATTGGTCTCCGCCCACCCCCGCAAGCTATCGGCGATACCGAGACCTGCGCAACAATTTCCCATTGGATCCGTCTCTACCACGCGAAATTTCCTCCGGGACATTTTGATCAGCCTCGCGAAAAAGAGCCCATTGGCCACGGGAAAGTGCCAGTACGCAGTCACAATTTCTCAGGTGAAGAATTGCCCCTTGTGTTTTTGGGCTCTTCCATTCGCGTTGGGCACCACTGCTCCCTTGATACGTGGCTTGGAAGGCCCCTTGTGTGTGGTGTGTTCTGCTCAGGGAGGGACTGCGCAACCTTGGGGCAAGGGTTTATCTACAGGAGGAACCAGGTTCAAACAAAGTTGCATCATCCCCGCCAACACGCGACCAACAACAAATAAACAAACAAAAATTGAACGCAAAGAGAAAGAGCAGAGAGAAGAGAGGCGTGCTTTCCATCTTCTCCACCCTACCACTCTACTCTACTCGTAGTAGGTCTTGTTGTGTGCGTGTGTGTAGATCGACAGGATCGAGTCCGTAGCGCCCGCCGCCAAATACATCCGGAACCTGGTGGCGTGTGTGTTAGCAACGCGTGCGTGTGCGATGTGGAATCCAAGGGGGAGAGGGGGGAGGGGTGCACGTACGGGTGGAACGCGAGGCAGGAGACGGGGCCGATCCTCTGGCCGAGGAAGCCCTCGTGGTATCGGATCTGGTTGAGCTCGAGCCCTTCAAAGTCTTGCACGTGGATCTTCTGGCCCTGCGAGCCGCTGGCGATGATCGGCGCGTAGGGATGCACCGCAAAGGCCGTCACATCCCCCGTACGCGTCGAGAACGTCTGTTTGTGTGCGGTGTGTGCGGTGTGTGCGTGTGCGGTGTGTGCGCGTGCGACAATAAGTTGCAGAAAAGGTTTTGGCAGTGGGGAGAGAAGGAGCGTGGTACCCTGTAGGAGATGGACTTGCGCGCGTCCCAGAACTTGACCTCGCCGGAGAGGGTGCAGGACACGATCTGGTGGTCGTGGGCGGTGATGCCGATATTGACGATCCAGTCCTTGTGCTCCTGGAACACCACCACGGGGCTGTAGCGCGTGGGTACGCGGCAGTCGAACAGCCGGATGGCCCCGTCGGCGCAGCCGGCCACCAGCACCTGTGCGTTGCCCGTCTGCGAGACGATCGACGTCACGCAGCAGTCCGACCCCGTCGCCATGTCCTACGCAGCCCAAGCGTGGTCAGCTCAGCCCATTCACACAGAAATCGAAAGAGAAATGTAGAAGGAAGAGAGAGAAAAAGAAAGAAAAAGAAATAGTACCTGGATGGCGAGCTCGCGCTCCATGTTCCACACGCGGACGATGCCGACGTCTCCCGAGGTCATGAGCATGCCGGTCTGCTGCTGCCAGTCGAGCACCATGCCGGGGCCGACGCGCGGGATCATGTCCGGCAGCGCGGTCCACGAGGAGATCATCTGGGGCTGGCCCTCGTCGCGGTCGGCAAAATTCTTCCACACGCGGACGACGCCGTTGTTGGTGCCGGTGAGGAGCATGGAGTCGTCGTAGGGGTTGACCAGGGCCATGGCCGAGATGCGCGTGCCGGGCGGGTTGCCGTTGCTGAAGGCCGACTCGGCGCGGCTCTCCACCCAGTTCCACACTTTGACCGTGTCCTTGTTGTCGGTGGCGATGAGCAGCGGGTCCAGCGGGTGGAACAGCAGCAGCGATGCCATCTCCGTTTCGTTGTCCAAAATTGCGATCTGCTCGTCCAACTTGACTTTCTCTGTCGTGTGTGTCGTGTGTCGTTGGTGGTGTCGTTGGTGGTGTCGTGTGTTGTTGTTGAGCGTCGATGGATGTCGAAGTGGGATTCGGGAAAGGAGAGCGGTGTGCGTACTGTCGCGTGTGGTGCGAGCTTCGGCGAGGGAAGCGTGGTGCTTCCGGTGCCGCCACTGCCGGACGGCGTTGGTCGGGCTCGATGGGTCGTCGACGTCCTTCATCATCGGTCGCGAGAAGTGCTCGCACGACCAATCGTAGAACTGCGATTGGAGCTCTGCAGCACACGACACACACGACACGACACGACACACGACGGTCAGTACAGCCATGGGGGGGGGAGGGGCATAGCACAGCAGAGCAGGTGGTACCGATGGAGGAGAGCGGAGGGAGGGAGGAGGCGGTGGGTTCGGTGGAGGAGGCGGCGGAGGGTCCCATGGAGGCGAGGTCCTCCACGGAGAGGGTCTTGCGCATGCCCAAAGCCCGATCCGCGACCACCGGCGTCTGTCCCGACTGGGTCATGCTGACTTGACCCGTCCGACGCGCCGACATGGGCGAGCGACCTGTGGACGCAACACCACACACACGCACACGCACACGCACAACACACACGCACACACGCAACACACACGCACACCCGCGCGCGCAACGAAGCCGCGGTGAGCTGCGAATTACAGCGAAGGGGGATCGGACACACACACAGAGAGAGAGAGAGTACCGAGGATCTGGGAGGGGCTTTCGGCGTATCGTCGCAGGAGGTGGTGGACGGGCGTGCGGGGACTGGGGACGGCGGCCGTGGAAATATCTGTGACATGCGCGCACGAATGAGTGCGAACGAAGTGTGAAGGGGGGGGGAAGGGGATTCGGGGTATGCGAGGCTGCGCAGAGCTGATAGGGAGGGGAGAGGGAGGCTCTGTACCGGTCTGGAGCTGTCGGTGGATGTGGGACACGATGTGCCGGGCCATGGAGGCCAGTTCCGGGAAGGGATCGGCGGCGAGGGTGAGTATCATCTTCCACACGCATCCGTACACCGAGCTCTGTTGCCTGTTTGACATTTCATCATCATCATCAACAACATATTTCGTAAATAAATGTGCAGGCAAAGGGCGAAACGAAAACGAAAGATTTGAAAAATGGCGCGGAGAGGGGTTGAGGGCAGCGACTAAGTACTTGGACATGTAGTCTTCGTCGGTGGGGCTCTCCGGCTCGGTGCTCACGCTGGCGCGCAACGGGGTCTTCTTGTTGCCCTTCTTCTTGAGGGCCGAGTCCCTCTGCAGCTGCTCCGCCTGCTTGGCCTCCTCTTGCAGGAGCTCCAACGCCACCTGTAATGCAGGCACCATTAGGACTACGACACACGACACGACCAACGACACGACCGACGACACGACAACGTAGGAAGGGAAGGGAGCGAACCTCTTTGCAGGCCGCCTCGTAGGAGAAGACGAGGCGGGAGAGGGCGACGATGAGCTCCTTGCGGACCATGGGGCTGCCGTCGGCCGTCACCACGGGCAGCGTGACCGCGAGGTTGAGCTCCACGTTCTTCCGCTGTTCCGAGCCCGACGCACCGCCCATAAACGTGCCCAACGCGTACACAGCTGCCGCGCGCGCCTAACGAAGAAGAGCGATGAGCGAAGAAGAAAAACAAGAACGAAGAAAAACGAAGAGTTGATAGCTGAGCAGAGGGAGCCGATAAAGGGAAGTAATGGGGGGGGGGTGAGGGAACCTCAGGCGCGGGATCGGTGAGGAGGGAGCAGAGCCGCTTGTGGGCGCCGTCCCTGAGGGCGGCCCACTTGGCCTCGTCGAAGCCCTCCCAGAGCTTGGCCATGCAGAGCGCGATCCATCGCCGCAGCAGCGGGTCGGGGTCGTTGATCTGCGCCAGACAGATCGACACCAGCTTGCCGTTCAGGCACGCCGATTGGCCCGGCCTGCATGCATACACGACGTCCAATCAACACCACACACAACCAACAACACCCGACACTCACACGCACACGCACACACAGGGAGAGACTAACCTGCAGTTCTCGCAGATGGCGGCGAGGACGAAGGCGGCCATGGTGCGCTGGTCGGAGGGGATGCTGGCCGAGGCGAGCACGTTGAGGAAGTAGTTGTGTCCGTTGTCCTTGACGAGGTCGAGCTGGCACGACTTGTCGAGGGCCAGGATCTTGGCCCAGATGAAGACCAGCGTCTGCCGCAGCTCGACGGCGGGGCTCTGCAGGAGCTTGAGCACGTAGGGGAAGATGCCGACCGACAGGGCCAGGTTGACGGCCCAGGCCCCGAGGTCCAGGAACCGCGCCAGAAGCACCAGCGCGCGCAGACGGTGCGCCTGGCTGAGCAGGACCTGCAGCACGATGGGCAGCTGCTCCGGCGGCTTCTTCGTCTCCGAGCCGAACTCGAGCCACACCTCGAACGCCGTCAGCTGTTCCGTGAAGAACGGCGAGTGCTGGTATCTGCGTACAACACGCACACGACACACGCGACACACACGCGATCAATTGTGCGCTCTACTTCGATGACATGGCGAGGGGTGGTGTGTGAGAGTACTCGGTGGCGGGGTCGGCGAGGAGGTCGGGCAGCTGGGCGAGGCACATGTCGGCGGCGAGGTCCCACGCGTTCCACATCGGGTGCTGGAAGGTGGGCGGGAGGGCCGGGTAGGAGAGCGGGGTGCAGTTGGCCGACCGCATGATCCGCTCGGCCAGCAGGAAGTTGCGGAACAGCGACGCCACGAGGAGGTCCTGTCGGAACAGCTTCTGGAACAGGTCCTTCGGCAGCACGTTCCACGCGATCGTGTCCGTCACCGCCGTGAAGATCCTGGTTACATCGATGAGTGTCGGCAATGATGATAACAACGAACGTGTGTGTGTGGTGTTACCAGTTGAGTTCGCCGAGGGCGGTGCGTCGATCGTTGAGCCGACCGGGCAGTTTGTCGATGAGGTCGGTGTTGACGTCCTTGATCATCGTGTGCTGGCAGTACCAGTGCAGCGCCATCTTAATCGGGGTCGTCAGACACGAGGTGAACACGTCCGCCGGCAGCTGCGGGTTCATCGGCAGGATCTATGCGTCGTGTGTCGTGTCGTGTCGTTGGTCGTGTCGTGTCGTGTCGTGCTTAGTCGATTGGATTCCAACGCGACATGTAGAAGCGGCAAACCGAGGTACCTGATCGGCAGCACAGGCGGCGAGGAGGATGTAGTCCTTGACCACGACGCCCTGCGAGGAGCCCTGATCCCGCTCCTTGACGCGCTGCTCGGCAAAGTGGTTGAACCATTGAATGATGAGGCCGGCCGCCGAGCAGTCAAACACGTAGATCGAGGGGCTTCCCATCCAGGTCTGCAGCTCGTAGATGGAGAGCGGGATGTACTGCGTGTAGTTCTTGTTGAACACCCAGATCTCGCCGTTCGATGTCGGTTTGGGCACGCCGTGTCCGTTGTAGTGGAACAGCACGCGTTCGTCCTTGGCATTGCGCCGCAACGACACGCACAGCTTCTTCACCTCCTCCACCGTCGGGTCGAGGCTCTGCTTATAGCGGGCCTAAAGGGAAAAGAGTTGGTGGCTGGCGATCGAGAGAGAGAGAGAGAGAGAAAGATGAAGAAGGAGGAAGAGAGTCGTACCCGTGACTGCCATCGCTCGTACTGCTGCTGGAGGTTCTTGCCGATTTGCTCGAGCGCCTTGGCAGACGACTGCGAGAAGGGGTCTTGTAGGCATAAAGAGCGGACGTGTAAGATGTAGAGCTGAAAAGAAAGAGAGAGGAAGATCTGAGAAGGGATGGCTTTACCCAGCCAGCACTCGAGGCGTGCACAGGGAGAAGGCTTCATGACGTCGGGCGGGTCGACGCCAATATTGAGGCAACACACCAAGGCCACGCTCACCGTCTTCATCTGTGTAGCACAGAAATTGTCACAGATACGAATAATGATATGATTATTAAAAAAATTGGATTCGCATGGCGGCATTTGCGAAGGGGAATGAGAATTGGTACGCGCTGCTTCATTCGCCATTTGGCGACCTGATGCTTCTGAGCGGGGTCGGCATTGGCATTGTCCCTAAATCGGGAATCGGCGAAGTAGACGGTGCCCAGGCGGCCACCGGTCTTCTTGGCAGCGCCAATCCTAATGGTCTCGCTCACCCCCTCGTTGCTCCCATCCACCTCGCCCGCCTGGAACGAGGTTTGCTGCAGTGATTGTTAGAGTTGCAATAGTTGCAGGAAGAGTCCGCAACAGGAGAGCATTCTCTACGCGTACCCTCTCCATCTCGCCGCGCCAGGGATTATTTGTTTTGATTGTTTTGGGCGACGCTACTTTTTCTCTGGCCTTTTCTCTGCGCCTTTTGGAGATAGTGAATGGGTTAGCAACACTTGGCGCTTTCGTAGAAAGAGTGCTGGAGGCGGCTAATAGATCACGGGCCTGGTGGGAAGACGTGATCACAAGCACGAGGAGAGAGCGTGGTTGAGTACTGGTGCCAGAGCAGCCATCGCGCCCTTGACCGCTCTTGTCGGGGCAGTTGTTGCTTTTGCCAAATTTCCAGCACGCAACTTCCCTTTGCCCTTTGCTCTTGGCTCACCCACTGCAGAAGTAACTGCAAACCGGCTCTTGGGCCATGATACCCTTGACGGCTGAGGCCAGGAACCACAGCATAAAGCTGCAGTCTTTTGCACAAGCCAATTTTATTATAATTCCTCGAATTCCACATTTTGACTCGCATTTCGCCAATTGCCCTCGTGCGATTAGGCCTCTCTTCTGCGATGCTTCGGCGGGTCACCAACAAGGGGCTCGGTTCCCCTCTTCACCGCGGCGCGCCGCCGCTCCTTCCTCACCGATTAGGCGGAAATTATAATCTTCAATCGCTTCATTTCGCCAATTCATCTGCCCGCCGACTGCATCGGGGCTTTGCATCTTCTCCAGCATCTGAAGCGAACAGTGCCGCTGCCGCCCCGGCTGCCACGGCCAACTCCAAGGCGTTCGGGCACACTCTCAATCTCCCACGCACCACTTTTCCGCTCTACACGACTGAGAAGGCACAGCTCCAGCTCGAGGGTTCCCTGCTGGCCGAGGTCAGCGACAACTTGTACGCCTGGCAGGTACTCTTTGCTACGTTCATCCCTTGCCCTCGGTGAGATTGAGCTCATTAATCTACTTGACCTGTGGCACAGGCACAACAACAACGCCAAAAGAGCTTCGTCCTGCACGATGGCCCACCCTACGCCAACGGGCCATTGCACACGGGTTCGTTTTACACATTCACAAACACCCATCGTGGTGCCTCGCCCGCTCAACGCTGGCAACCTTCTTGTGCGTACAGGGCATGTGATGAACAAGGTGCTGAAGGACATCGTCAATCGCTACAAGCTGCTACGCGGCCACGCCATCAAGTACGCACACGATTGCCATTCTTTTAACAAGAACGACCGTCATGCCAAGATGATGATAATCGTCATCAGGCTGGGCTGCAGTAGTGCGTTGCCACTGACCTGGCGCACCACCTTGGTAGGTACGTGCCGGGCTGGGATTGCCACGGACTGCCGATCGAGCTCAAGGCCGTCGACCAGGCCAAGAGCGGCTCCACCCTCTCGCCGACGGAGATCCGGGCCAAGGCCCACGCGTGCGCCGAGGAGGCGATCGCACAGCAGATGAAGGGTTTCCGAAGCTGGGGCGTCATGGGCGAATGGAACAACCCCTACGCCACCAAGGGTACCACCCTACTTCTTTCTTTTCATTTCTTGTCTTTTCTTTTTCTTTTGCTAACCGTTGCCTCTTTCTGGGCTGCGTCCAGATCCCAAGTACGAAGCATCGCAGCTCGGCTTGTTCCTCGACCTCTACAAGAAGGGTAAGGCGTTCTTCTTCTTCTTCTTTTGGTTGGTGGCGAATTCTTCGGTGTGACTCTTTGCTGCATTAGGCTACGTGTATCGCGGACTGAAGCCAGTGATCTGGTCGCCGTCCTCACGCACCGCTCTGGCCGAGGCCGAGGTGGAGTACTCGGACACGCACGTGTCGCCTTCTGTCTATGTTGCGTTCTCTGTGAAGCATCTCGGTACGAACCTGGTCACGGCGATGATCTTCTGAGTCGCATTCACTCACAATCTGTGCGTTCGCTCTTGCAAACTCCAGCCAACAAGGCCGGGGAGCTGTCCAGGTTCAATAACCTGCATGCCCTCATCTGGACCACCACACCATGGACCATCCCTGCCAACATGGTGAGAACACGACACACGACACGACCAACGACACGACACGACACGACACGACACGACACGACCAACGACACGACACGACACGACCAACGACACGACACGACAGCACATGAGACACATGCATTGTGTTTGACTGATTGGGTCCTTCGCCTGTGGCGCCTGTTAGGCAATCTGCGTCAATCCGAACATCGAGTACAGTGTCGTCAAGACGACGGACCAGCACGACAAGCACTACGTCATCGCCAGCGACCGGCTGCAGGCCATGCAGGAGCTGCTCAAGCAGGAGATCGAGGTGTGCGCCCGCCTTCCGGGCTCCTCGCTCGCCGACACGATCTACGTGCACCCGCTCGACGGACGCGAGCTGAAGGTGCTGCCCGGCACCCACGTCACCACCGAGTCCGGCACGGGCCTCGTCCACACCGCCCCCGCTCACGGTACCCCTCCCCCCCAGCGGCGTGTCGTCGTGTGCGGTTCGTACAGGGCTGTGTAACGCCCTAAAACGGAATGTGTGGAATCTCACCAATCGCCGTCGCGACCAGGTGCGGACGACTATGTGGTGTGCAAGGCGCACGGCATTCCCCTGCGAAGCTTCGTGGACGACAACGGCAAGTTCACGCAGGACCTGCCCGAGTTCGCTGGTACGCCCCCCCCCCCGAGCAACACGCGCCAGTCGGCGACCGGCGAACTCGACGCTGACGATATCACGCCCTGTCTTGTGGACTTGGCAGGCAAGTTCGTGCTCGGACCTGGTAACGAGCTGGTCATCCAGGCGCTGACCGACAAGGGCGCGCTCGTGCACCAACACAAGTACACGCACAAGTACCCGTACGACTGGCGCACCAAGAAGCCCATCATCATGCGCGCCACCGAGCAGTGGTTCGTCGACCTCAAGGACGTCGTCGCGCCCGCCCTGGACGAGATCTCGCGGGTGCAGATGGTGCCCGCCACCGGCCGGACGCGCCTCGAGTCGTTCATCCGATCGCGCCAAGAGTGGTGCATCTCGCGGCAGCGGGTCTGGGGCCTGCCCATTCCCGTCTTTTACTCTCGTCAAGGTCTGCACACGCACACGACACTCGCCTCACCGCACACGCCGCACACACACACACCACACATACCACACACACCACACACACCAACACACCATGAAAGCGACTCATTCCCGTGCGATGGTGGTGGGTCAGGTGAGCTGCTGCTGACGGAGGAGTCGGTGGGCCACGTCCAAAAGCTGGTGGCCAAGCACGGGTCCGACTGCTGGTGGTCGATGCCCACGAGCGAGCTGCTGCCGCCCTCGGAGAAGCACAACGCCGACAAGTGGGAGAAGGGCCGGGACACGATGGACGTGTGGCTCGACTCGGGCGTGTCCTGGCACTCGGTGCTCCACAACCGCGAGCTGCCCTTCCCGGCCGACATGTACCTCGAGGGTTCCGATCAGCACCGCGGCTGGTTCCAGTCCTCCCTCATCACCTCTGTCGCCCTCACCGGCAAGGTATTGACACGGCACGACCAACGACACGCACACGACACGACACGCACACGACACGACACACGATGCGATGTCTGATTCGATGGACTGTTGGGATGGCGTAGGCGCCCTATCGAGCGGTGCTGACGCACGGCTTCGTGCTGGACGAGCACGGCCGCAAGATGTCTAAGTCGCTGGGCAACACGATCGACCCCGTCGCCCTCGTCAACGGCGACGAAAAGAAGGCCGGCTGCGGAGTCGACGTGCTGCGCATGTGGGTCGCCTCCTCCGATTACTCGCGCGACACACTCATCGGACCCGTCGTCATCAGTACCGTCTCCCTTCTTTCTTCACCTAAGCACCGCACACGCACACGCACACGCACCAACCGCACACGCACACGCCTAACTGGTTGACATGTGGTGTTGTACAGACAAGATGAAGGGCTCGTTGCGCAAGCTGCGAAACACGGCGCGGTTCCTGCTGGGCAACCTGGCCGACTACGACCGCCGGCAGGCCATCCCCGACGACGACCTCACGGGCATCGATCGCTACATGCTGCACAAGCTCCACGAATTCAGCCACGGCGTGACCACCGACTACGACGACTACCAGTTCTCCAAGGGTACGCGCGGGCCTCTCGCCAGAGCTCTGGTGGTGCTGATGGTGATGTCGGTTTTGATGATGACGCTGATGATGACCTGACTCTTAACTCGGCTGTCTGGCGTCGACGACAGTGTACCGCGGGCTGGTCAACTTCGCGACGGTGGACCTGTCCGCGTTCTACTTCGAGGTGGTGAAGGACCGCCTCTACGCCGATGCCACCGACTCCCTCCGCCGGAGGTCGACGCAGACCGTCTTGCGGCACACGCTCGACGCCCTCACCGCCGCGCTCGCGCCCATCGCACCCTTCACCGCCCAGGACATCCACCGGTATTAGTCTTGCCGTGACGGTGCACCGCATCGTGCTCACGCCACACACACACACACACACACCACACACACACACACACACAACGACACACATGTCAGGCACGACGCGCAGGCGGCCGCGGTGGCGCCCAACGTGTTCCACCTCGAGTGGCCGCGTGCAGGAGACCAGTGGAAGCAGGACGGGATGGCCCAGCAGTGGGACGCCATCAGGGACGTGCGCTCCCAGACCTACAAGGTCCTCGAAGCCGCACGAGCCCACAAGTACGCTCGACGTGTGTCGTGTTCGTGTGCGTGTGCGGTCGTGTTCGTGTGTGTGCGGCCTCGTGCCACCGCTTCATGTGCGTGTCCCTCGTGTGACGATGCTGACGTCAGCTTGAACGATCGGTGATCGGTGTCGCGCCACGCGCGCAGGGTCATCGGCAGCTCGCTCGATGCGCGCGTGCGGCTCTACACGGGCTCGGACGACAACCAGGTCGCGAGGTGGCTGGCGGAGCCCACGAGCGACGAGCTTGCCGAAATTCTGGTCACTTCCGCCGTGGACCTCGTCCCCGAAGCCCCCGCCTTTGAAGTCGTCGACGACCGACCACCACAGGTTCGCTTTTATTTATTTTATATATTTATATTTGTTTGTTTATTTATTCTTATTTATGTCAATGATTATTGTCTTTCCAGGCCGATCTCACGAGCGGGCCTACGCCGTCGTTCGTGGGCGGAGGCCTGGTGCACGCGGTGCCGGTGGGCGTTGAAGTGGTGCCGGCCTCGATGCACGCCGTCAAGTGTCCGCGGTGCTGGCGTTACGCCTCCGCCGAGGAGAACACGCCCTGCCCGCGCTGCGCCCAGGCCATGGCATGAGGCCCACCGCGCTGGGTCCACCACGGGCGACTGCCGTTGTTGGCTCGGGACGGGCGCATCTCGAGATCGCCCATCACCTGCGTCAGCTCCCACCATCTCCTTGTTCAGCTCCCCGCGACAAGCCACTGCCTTCTTCGTTCCTTCTCGCATCGCGCAGCATTCGTGCAGTTTTTCTGCTCTTTCTGCGGCAGCCACTAGAAAATTGGCGGGAATTGTGCAAACATGCGAAATTCCATTTCCCGCCAAACCTCGTCCGGCAGAACGCAACAAAAGCGAGTTGCGGCGACGGAAATCACAATTCAAATTGGCGAGCGAAGGTGAGAGATTCAAGTAGCGAGATAGACGTAAGTGCAAGAAGACCTGGCTGATAAGAAAGATTCTACATCCAATTTCACCGAGATGGCGGCCGCACGACCACCCCTCGACGTGCGACTTCAAATAGTGAAGCAGGAGTCTGTCACGCACGACGTGTCATTCGTGAATGGGCAGACCAAGGTGGTGCATTCGTGCATCAAGGGCTCACCCTTCAAGCTTGAGCTGGCCCTGGTCGGTAATTTCGACCGTAGCATCATCAACTTCAATCGATTCGTGATCACTGCGGTGCTGCTGTACGACTACGCCGACGGCGGTCGAGGCGTCGAGGAGCGCCAGGTGAGCTTCGTCAAGACGCGCCCGCTCGAGGTGCTCGAGTACAGCGTCAACGATGCCGGCGACCGCCTCACGCTCGTCGTAGTGCTACACGTCCTCTCCTCCCAGCACGAGCACAGCCTCTTCCTCATCAAGATCGCCAACGCCGATCTCGGCCTCGTAGCCGTCTCCCAGCCCATCCGCGTCGTGAGCAAGGAGCTCCAGCTCAAGGGCAAGGCCAAGCCGCGCCAGGCCACCTCCAGCGGCGCCGCCTCCTCCGCCGCCTCCCGCCGCCCGCTCACCGAGGAGGTCGTCCAGTACCTGCAGCGCATCGAGGCCCAGTCGGAGACCCACCACCAGCTGCTCCTCTCCATCCTTCAGCGCCTGGCCGCCGCCGACGGAGGAGGAGGAGGCATGCAGCCGCAGCCCCAGCAGCAGCAGAGGACCTTTAGCGGAGAGGGCGTACCAGGCGAGCCGGCGGCCAAGCGGCAGAAGCGAGACTTCGCGAAGGACTTTGGCGCCGCCGCCGCCAAGAGCGAGGGCACGCACAACAACAACGCGGCGGAGGGATCGGCACCATCGTTCGAGGAGAGCTTCGCAACGTTGGTCCGCTCGTTTGGCGCCCTGCCGCGCGAGCAGCGTACGGAGACAGTGCGCCGCACGGTGCGCGGGTGCCCCGACCGCGAGACGATGAACGACCTGCTGGGCCACCTCGCCGCCGCGGGCATGATGGGCAGCTTCGGCCTGGCCACCACCAACGGCGGCCTGCCTTCTTCTGCGTCGTACGACGCCACGCCACTCCCGCTGCCCTCGTCGATGCGCCACATCAAGCCCGAGCCGTCGTCGTCGTCGTCATCGGAGCTCGCCGATCAGGTGGTCGACCTGGGTCTGCCGGCGCCGGGCGCGGGCTCGTTCGGCTCGGCCTCGACCCCTCGCCTGCCGTCGCTGCCCTACCTCACCGGCTACGAGGGCATGCCCATGCCGTTGGGCCAGATGATCCAGCTCCAACCACCGTCTCTTCAAGGAGGAATGCCAGCGCAGCAACAGCAGCAAGGAGGAGCGGCGGACGAGGGCGAGAGGAAGAGCGGACAGTTCTCGCAGTCGGACATCGACACCAACAAGCTCTACAACGAGATCTTCGCCTCGTGGCCCTACGACAACCTCAACAACAGCACCAACGGCCTCAACAACACCAGCCTCTCCCAGTCCCAGTCCCAGTCCCAGTCACTCTAGATCGGCGTCGAACCCGCTGGGTCCAATTCCCCTGTAATCTGTAAATTGGCGTGTGATGGCCCATCTCGAGTGTGTACAGTGTACTCCCCTCTCTCTCTATTGTCTCTGTTGTACAGCGTTCTCCTGTGGTGTAGTCTCTGTGTAAATACAAACATTACATCCAGCCCCTTGCGTGCACGAACGAGTTTGGTGGTGCGGGAGACGAACGGTGTGTGTCGCGTCAGGCAGGCGCGGAGGTCTTGCTGGCGTCGGCAGTGCGCGTCTTTTCTCGCTGCTTTGCCTTGGCTGCTATGACTCCGCCCTAGTAAGTGGGGCCGTGCATTAGTGCCACGAAGGTCCTCCTTGGCTTTGGGGGGGGGGCAAGAGCAGCATCACACCTTGGACTGGAAGCTCCCTGTTGGCAGCAACAGCAGCACATGCGCTTCATCCTAGTGATGCACAACCCCATGGACGTTCTTCTTCTTCCTCCTGGTGTTTGTTTATGGACGTTGTTCAACTTGAGCAACGCCAAACCACCAACCACCTCTCTTTCATTTTACGCGGAGAGACACAGTAATCGATGGTTATCGCTTTCATTGTTTGGTGTGTGTTGTGTTGAGTGGTATGTACATCAGTCGGGGAAAGAGGTGGAGAGTGTGGAGGGCTTGGCTTGCTCAGTGCCACCGAGGCAGGAAGCAAAAGTAGCTGCTCAGGCCACAACGGCCCGTCGAGCCGTCCACCGCGCCCACGGCCTCCTCGCCCGCATGTTCTCGCTGTCGTTGGAAGAAGGCGGCGAATGTGGTGGACTTCCTCTGTGCGGCCGCCCGCCGCAGCTTCTCCTCTTCCTCGGCCTCCTCGCGCTCGAGCGCGTGGTTGAGCAAGGTGGTCGCCACCGAGACGAAGCACTCCTCCACGTTCGTTCCGTTCAGGGCCGAGCACTCCATGTACTGGAAGCCACGCTCGAAGGCCCAGCTTCGGGCGTCGTCGCGGCTCACGGCCCGCCTCGGCGCATCGATCTTGTTGCCAACTACGCACACCGTAGCGGAGCCGGGCACGATCTTGCTGTCGATCTCGGCGAGCCACGTCTTGAGATTGGCGAAGGAGGCCGGGTTGGTGACGTCGTACACGAGTAGAACGCCCTCAGCGCCGCGGAAGTAGTTGGTCACGATTGAATTAAACTTTCTGTCGCCCGCATTATCCCACAGGGAGAGCCTGACGTTCTTGCCCTGCACGTTTCGCAGCTGATGCACTTTCTGTAAAGATGAAACAAGTGTGAGATGTGGGGAGTGGTTGATAATGAACAGAAGGAGTGTAGCAAGAGATGATCCTCATATAAAGCCCTATTTCTCAGCATGCAAACTCAGTGCAAGGATGATATTTCGTTGTTTTTAATCCTCGGATCATCTGGGAGTGTGGTGGGGCAGGCAAACGTACGTAATCGACGCCGATGGTGGGGGCATAGGCTCGTTCGAATTCCTTGTCAGAGAGGCGCGATAGTAGAGATGACTTGCCCGTGAATGAATCGCCCACTATCACCACCTTGTAGTGGTATTGCTTCTCCGCACCAAGAAGGGGTCGCTTGTCCGTCATCTCAGTTCTGTTCTTTGTGATTATGTTCTTCTGCCACCCTTCTTACTCGGGGAATCTATTCTGAATGAATCTTCTGCCACGTACGCGACCCATTTCTTCTGCCACGTACGCGACCCATTTCTTCTGCCGCTGCTTCTTCTGGTGCAATCTCCTGCCACTTCTGATCTTTGATTCCAAATCCAAGAACTCGAAACTGCCGACAACCGAAAGTGTCGACTACGACATGCCTGACGTCAGCAATTTTCATATTCATTAATTTTAATATTCGTTTTTTCTTCTCCGGCTAATCTTTGTTCTCTCCCATCTTCCGGATCCGACCGAACAGCAGCATGTCGTCGTCACCGTCTCCTTCTGGTTCTACGTCGTCGGCCCTGACGGCGTCGGTGGGGCAGCTGTGGACCGGCTACCTCCGCCTCCTCGAGGAGAAGCCCTTCCTCACCAAGGCACCGCCCCTAATATTTTCTATTTCCATTATTTTATTTTATTTTATTTTTTTATCATATATTATTCCATCGTAACAAATAAACGAATATCGTATAATTTTAAATCATATAATTTTTAACATCTAAACGGCTCTGCCCGGAACAGGTGGTGACGTCGGGCGCCATTCAGTACTTCAGCGACTTTGTGGCGCAGGCCGTGTTCGAGAAGACCGGTACCCACTCGACACACGACCACTTGCCCCACACGAGCCGGTTGCGCGCTCCACCGACTCACGCGTCGGGTCGGTGCTCGTCGTGGTGTGTCGCGTTGGTGTTGGTGTGTGTGTCGCGTGAGCGCAGGGGTCAAGGGGGTGGACCACGTGCGTATCTGGAAGTTCGTGGCCTACAGCGTGGCCGTGACGCCCCTGTACGACCACTGGTACCAGTTCCTCGACTCGCTGCCCATCACCCAGTTCGTCTCCTTCCTCCTCCGCACCTCCTTCCCCGCCAAGGTACCACCTCTCCTCCTCCACCTCCTCCATCCTTGCAAACTCTCATCGTGTGCGTGTGCGTGTGCGTGTGCGTGTGCGTGTGCGTGTGCGTGTGCGTGTGCGTGTGCGTGTGCGTGTGCGGTGGTGCGTGTCGTGCGACAGCGGAAGAGCGAAGTGCAGAAGAAAAAGGACGGGGAGGAGGGAAAGGAGAAGGAGCCGCTGTCCACGGTGCTGATCAAGCTGGGCCTGGACCAGCTGGTGCTCGATCCGGTGATGACGTTGTTCTTCTACGTCTTCATGGGCGTGCTCGACCGCAAGAGCTGGCGCGAGATGCGGGAGGACATGCGCAAGACCTACTGGCTCACCCAGACCAGCGCCTGGAAGATGTGGCCCCTCGTCAACTTCATCATGTTCCGATACGTGCCCGAGCACATGCAGATCCTCTTCGGCAACGTCGTCTCCTTCATCTGGAACATCTACCGCTCCCTCATCGTCATGGGCTGATGACGGTCACCCGACAAACACGACACGACACGCACGGCACACGACACGCACGGCACACGACACACGCACACGCGCGAATAAAGGCCTTATTAATTACTTTATTAGTAATCAGGCGTTGGACGTGGAGTGGTTGGAGCTGCTGGGCGGCTGCTTGTCGACGATCACCTGGCGGTAGCGCTGCTCGACCGACGAGCGGGTGGCCGAGGCGCGCGGCATGGTGGTCCACTCGGAGGTGGCGAACAGGTCCCTCTTGAGCTTCTCCTCATCCACGCCCGCCTTGAGTGCGCGTTTTAGTAAGCGCGTGTTGTGTTGTGTGTCGTGGCGGGTACGTACCACTTTGCCCTCCTTGAAGACGCGCCGACCGCGCACCCACACGTCGGTGACCAGGTTATTGGGGCGGCCCAGCAGAAGCAGACTGCGGCGTGTGTGCGTGTGCGGTGGTGCGTGTGCACATTAAAACAGAGGAATAAAGCCAGGAATGCCAAGCGCGCGGGAATACCCGAGGATGTCGGTGCGGGGCAGGATGGAGAGGGAGCTGGCGAGGTCGTAGAGGACGAGGTCGGCCGACCGTCCCACCTGTACGAGGCCCGTCTGGTCCTGCAGCCCGACCGCCCGCGCGCCGCCCATCGCGGCCATGCGGAATGCCTGCCTCACATTCCAGATCATCGTCAGCCAACCAACCGCTCCACGACATAGAATATGGAGAATGCGGTCAGACCTGATCGGGCGTGATCCAGCGGTTGTAGTCAAAGTCGGTGATGTTGTGCAGGATGGAGCCCATCTTGATCGCCTGTCCCCGAAACATGCAGCGATCAGCAACGGAGGTCGTGTGTGTCGTGTCGTTGGTCGTGTCGTTGGTCGTGTCGTTGGTCGTGTCGTTGGTCGTGTCGTTGGTCGTGTCGTGTCGTTGGTCGTGTCGTTGGTCGTGTCGTTGGTCGTGTCGTTGGTCGTGTCGTTGGTCGTGTCGTTGGTCGTGTTGTGTCGTTGGTCGTGTCGTTGGTCGTGTCGTTGGTCGTGTCGTTGGTCGTGTCGTGTCGTGTCGTTGGTCGTGTCGTGTTCCGCGCACCTCGAGCATGTCCTGTGAGTCGTTGGAGGCTGCGCCGTCGCACCCGAAGCAGACGTTGATCCGGGCGTCCAGGTACTTCAACACGGGCGCGATGCCGCTGTGCAAGTGTCGCGCGAGCAAAAGGGTTGAGCAAAGCGATGGGCGAGGGTGGGCGGTGGGCGGGAAGCGGAACAAAATGGGCGCGCACGCACCTGCCCAGACGGAGGTTGGAGAGCGGATTGTGGACGGGCGTCGCGCCGGTCGTCTGCAGCTGCTCGATATCGCTGTGCTCCGCCAATTGCATTTCGTCAGCGCGCGTCTTGTGTGTCATGCATGTCGTGCGTGTCGTGCGTGTGTCGTGTGTGTTGTGTCGGACAAGTACTTGTCGTCGAGCCAGATAGAGTGAGCGCAGGTGGTCTTCTCGTTGAAGAACCCCAGCTTCTTCAGATGATCCACCGCGCTGCATCCGTACTTCTCGTACGCCAACTGCACGCCATCAAGGCAGGCATCAGTATCACCATCATCGCAACCAGCATCATCATCGTCGTCATCGTCATCGTCGTCATTGTGTTCATTGTCACCGTAGAAGAGGGGCCGCACCTTCTTCTGGTTGACGGTCTCGAGGAGGTGGGTGTGTCGCACGAGGCCGTGCTTCTCGCTCAGCTCTCGGCAGCGGGTGTACAGTTCGTCGCTGCACGTCTGCACGCCCGACGGACCCACCCCGATCTCGATCCCCTCCTCCGGGCGGTGCAGTTTCTGCGCTCGTGTCATGTGCGTGTCGTGTGTCATGTGCGGTGCGTGTCGTGTCGTGTCGTGTCGTGTCGTGTCGTGTCGTGTCGTGTCGTGTCGTGTCGTGTCGTGCGGAACATGTAAGCGACACACAGGCACGGGAAATGATGATGGTCTGTGCGCACCTCGACGGCTTGCTCCATGAAGGCCATGATGAAGTCGGTCTTGTGCGGGTCGTGCTTGTCGGTTCCGGCGTAGGGGCTGCACCCGTGGCCGCAGCCGTGCGCCACCGTCGCATCGAACGGGAGGTCGCCCAACAGCGGGCACACGAAGGCGCGCACGCCCACGTCCCTGTAGGCCTGATGCCACGTCACACCACGTCATGCCACGTCAGCTTGTAGCGCCCGGGCGGTGGTGGCCGCCTCTGTAGCGCGGTCCGCGTACCCGGCAGATGGCCTCGAGGCACTCGAACTCCTTGCCCGGGACGCCCAAGACCGACGGCATGTCCAGCACGCAAGTCACGCCCGTCATCAGTCCCTCCACCGCCTATCAAACCGCACACGGCACACGGCACGCACGGCGCACGACACGGGACGAGTGAGATCGCGTGAGAGGAGGTGCTGGGTGGAAGGGAGTGCGGTGTGTACGGTGAGGAGGGCGGCGAGGTAGTAGTGGTTGGGGTCCTGCGGGCCGTAGTCGTAGAGGTAGCCCAGCCACAGCTCGAGCGGCAGCGGCGGGATCGAGCCCCGGTTGTACATCTCGCCCGAGTGCGTGTGCCCATTCAGAAACCTGGACTCACGCGTGAGCACGACACACACGCACACGCACACGCACACACGACACACACGACACACGCACACACGCCGCATGGCGCACGCCACGCGCCACGATAGGGGGTACCCGGGAAGGAGGAGCTTGTTGGTGCCGTCGATGACGGTGAGGGCGGAGTCGCCGGTGGTGGCGCTGAGGTCCGACGGTTCGTCGACGGCCACGATGGCGCCGCCCTCTTCAAAGTGCACGTCCCGACGCACGCACTCCGTGTTGCCTCGCTCCTGCCACTCCTCTGCACAACACAACCAACAACACAAAACACAATGCCTCAAATCATTGATCATGATGATGATGATGATGATGTTGGCGGCGGGTTGCAAAGGGTACCCTGTAGCAGGGCGCGAGGCACAAACACGTTCTTCACCACGAAGCTTCGAGCATTACTTCCCTCCATCTTCGCCGCTCAGAGTTAATTGCCCCGACCCATTTCTTGTTTTTTCTTCTTTGATTTCTTCTGCGCAAAAGAAAGCCAATGGAATGCAAAGCATGTCGGACCAGGAGGCGGCCGAGGTATGGAAGGAGAGGCGCCTGGGGGAACGAGCTTAGAGAAGGGAGAGACGACAGAACGGAGAGTTAGGAGCGATTCTCGATCATCATCAACAAGTCATCTTTATTCCCCATTTCTTAGCCCATCCTCTTTACAAGCACCTTATCGTACGCGAGATCTCCCAGTGCACAACTCCTCTTCTTCTTGAGGCTCTCCCCCACAGGCCATGGACCACACTCCGCGGCACAACCAACTCTTTCACTTCTTCACACTTCGAAGCGTGCTACCGACAAGTAGTAGTACTCGTAGCCACCACCCCAGTGCGTCCCGCAATTCCTCCATCGCAGTGCCGCAATGGGCCGGGTGGTTGGTCGCCCTGGCCCTCACCTTCGCCCTCTACGCCCTCTACCACCACGCCCCCTCCGCCCTCTTTGGCCCAACCTCCGACGTCGACGCCGGCGACGGCGCCGTAGACGAACCGGGGACATCCGACAACCACGACCAGGCGGCCGGCGACACGTTCTCCCAGACCCAGTTCCTGGCGTGGATGGCGGCACAGGCCAATGCCGCACCGGCGTGGCCGGCCGAGTGGGCCAAGCTCGACGCGCTGCTCTGGGGCCAGGGGCTCGAAGGCCACATGGAAGCCGAGCAGGCCCACTACTACGCCGCCGTCGGGCGGCTGCCCTTCGTGCGCACCGTGTGCGAAATCGGGTTCAACGCGGGCCACTCGGCCACCGTGTGGCTCACCAGCCAGCCCGGCCTGCGCCTCCAGTCCTTCGACATCGGGCTTCACGGCCTTGAGCTCGTCCCACGCCCTCTGCGTCGCCTGGCAGTGGCCGAGCCCACACCGCAGGTCGTCCATCAGCAGAATGCTGTGCGGCCCGGCCAGCGCGCGCATGTTGACCAAGTCCAACCGCGGCACCTCGCCGAAGTGCCCGCCGTCCACGCGCAACACGTCGCACACGAACCCCGGATTGCGCTCGGCAAAGTCCGGCACGGCCTGCACCGAGTCGCCGAGCGGTCAGGCAAAGTGTAAGACTGCGTCTTGGCTCAGGCCCTGCAGTTCTTTTTGCGTTACGGTTCGGCCCGTCGAGTCTGTGACGCTCAGTGCCTTCGTCCTGCAATCCGCACAGCGATCACCCAGTTATCGGACACAAAGAACATGAAGTTATCGGTCAGCAGCAACAAATTAAAATAATAAAACCAGTGAGTTAAAATACAAGCGTGGTTCGGACCTAAACTTCTGCTTGATGGTGGCATAGAGCTGGTCCATGGTGCGCGGGTGGAGCAGTACCATCTTGCGCCGCCCTTTGCTGCAGAGTGTCAATCGTAACGGCTCCTGTGTGCATCGTGCATGATCATCATGCAGCTCACACTTGAGTTCCGAAGCCACACATTTCCGTCCATTCACTCGGAGGTGTGCGCCTGGAGTGAATGTCGTGCTGTGCCGTACGTACCTCACTTTCGCTGGAGAGGCGAAGAATCGCACCCAGGGCCGGGTCATTCGGCTCATAGATCATCTCCCTGTCAATGGCTCTACTTGAGACGGAGTTCACCACCGCACACGCACACGCACACGCACCACCGCACACGCAAGGAGGGATATGCGTACTTGGGTGTCACGAGTCGCGCGGGGTCGTTGCGGGCGCACTCAGCCACGAACGGAGAGAGGTCGTCGATACGCAGGATGTCCTCGCCGTTCGCGTAGGACTCCACATTCTTCAGCCCGAGCTGAATCGCGCGTCTGCTCGTCACCGGTGCGCCGCTGGGGTCGTGGTCTGCAAATCAAACGTCGTTAGTCATGGATAGGTCGCCATCCTCAGCACCTACTGCCTTAATATTCATTATTAAATAACGAGATTAATAACGAATTTCCTAATTTCAATAAATAAATAAAGGGGAAGCCAGGCGGTACCCGGGTCCCACTGCAGGCGTACTGTTCCACCACCTTTCGTTGACGAGAGCAAAATGTAGCGATCGAACGCGGATCTCTTCAGCCTGTTGGCCCCAATGTGTGTGAAATGGGATGATGAGCTATCTAAACCACAACCTCAACAGCCACCACTACAACAGCAACCAGCAGCCTCATCGCTTGATTGATGCACGTACCAGATACCCAGCGTCACCTCTTGATTACTCTTGCGGCCCCACCCGTTTCTGTTCGCCACCGATCGCACACGCACCACTCAGCACACGTCATCCACACCCCAACTCACTCCCTCACCCAACGAGTGACGCGCGCGTGTCGCAGGGGTACGGGGCATGGGGCACCGGAACATCATCCAGAGGAAGTTGGGCTTGATCCAGGTCATCCGCGTCGAGGAGTAGCCCGGACAGCCGGTGAACCGCTGGTGCTCCACTGCGTACTTCCCGATCTCGGGCTTGAACGCTTGATACACAAGAATGGCCTCATCTGCCACGGCACACACGACACACACGACACGACACAACGACACACGCGTAAGACTGGAACTGGCGTGCTCCCCCCCGCACGACACGACGAGGTGAACTGGGGGGGGGGGTAAGGTACCGGTGTACTGGGCGAGGATGAATTGCCCCAACTTGGGCCACCGCGCCAGCTGCTCGGTGTAGGCCTCGGTCTGCAGGGTGTGGCTGAAGTGGGCGCATGCGGCTCTCTCGCTCCTCGCTGCACCCCCCTTGCTCTCCTCCTGTTCCATGCCGCTTGTATTCTTTATTTGTACTTTTGTGTTCTTTTTCATCTTTTATTTTTTACGTCCAACCCGCTTTCTGCCGCGCTTCACGCAACGCAAATCAAGAATTTTGAGAGATACCAATTTATTTCGTTGTTCCTCTCTGGTCGTTGTGACCGTTCGTGTTTTGCAGACAACACTGCAAAGGCTCTCTTTTGTGGGTTGGTGTCAGAACGACAGCGGCGTGGGTCTCAACGCAGGCGGAGGGCTTGGCCGGGCAGTCGCGTTCATCTGAAGGGCGTACACCAGCCCTGTCGACGAAATGACATCACCCAACCCGACCTGTCACGCCCAGCCGCACCCGACGTCAGCGAGCCGCAGCGACGACACACACGACACACGATACACGACACGACACACATACACACACACTGACATGACACGACGTGCAAAGAGGGAATGCGTACGGTGCGTGTGGGTCGCTTGCACACGAGCACGGGCGCGAGGTAGTAGACGGCGTCGCCCTCTTCCCACATGGTGACGGGCTCCACGGGGTCGATATGGACGTCGGTCCGCCGCTCGTCGTGGTGCGCCTGGGGCAGGGTCTCCCGCTGCAGCCGCACCTCGACGTCGGCCGTCGACACGTCCCACCGGCCGTCCCCGCAGGCACGCGCCGTGGCGCCCAGGCTCCCGCCCACCACCGACATGGCGCCCGATCCCCATCTCCGCCACCTCGCGCTGGCTGTCGGCGTCGTCCGTCGTTCGGCCACGACATGGAAGCTCTGCGCCCACCAAACAGCTTCAACGTCAGCTACGTGTGTTTCGTGTGTGTGCGTGTGCGTGTGCGGTGGTGCTTGTGCGTGTGCGTGTGCGGTGGCGCGTACGAGGTAGTGGAAGTGGATGCGAGTGAGGAGCCGCTGCTGAGGATCCTTGTGGTCCAGCACTTGGAAGACAAGCTTGAGGGCATCGGTCACCGTGTGGACGGTCGGGCTGGTGAACGCGCTCAGCTCCAGCTCGGCCACGCGCACCTTGCACTCGGAGTTGCACGAGTCCATTTTCCCCAGGGCCTGCACCAGCGCGCCCAGCTCTTGCTCGTTGAGGCCCTAGAACACGACACGACACGACACGACACGACCAACGACACGACACGACACGACACGACCAACGACATACGACACAAGGAATGAGTACTCGCAAGAGAGGAATGGGAGAAGTCATGAATACCAGTGAGTCGACATGGCTGATCAGTTGGGTGGTGACGAGCAGGAGCAGGTCCTCGTCGGAGATGGAGGCCAGCTCGAAGTGGACGTCCACCTCGGGGTCGGTCTCCTCCACCGCGCGCCTGACCGCGCCCACGCGCTCGCGCCTGACCTGGTCCGGCTGGCCCTCGAGCAGGTGCAGGCCCGCCAGGATGATCAGGTCGGGCTCGAACGGCTCCATCGCGGCGTGGAACTCCTCGAGCGCCAGCAGCTGCGAGTTGGTCTCGTCGTGGACGGCGATGAAGCGGTTGGCCCGGGGCGCGGTCAGGTGGCCCCACTGCGCGCCGCGCGGGTACTCGAGGATGAGGTGCACCTCGTCCTTGGTGCCCTCGCCGCCCATGTGCTGGATGTTCGGGTGTAGCAGCTCCGCCAGCCGCGGCCCGATCGGCCCTCCCAGGAAAACCTCGCTTCCTAACAGCCCGACCGCACACACGCACACACGCACACACGCACACACGCACACACGCACACACGCACACACGCACACACGCACACACGCACACACGCACGTGGTCAGGTGCCGGCTGAGGCCAGTCGCGAGGTGTAGTATGCATGTATACCGAGCTCCGCGAGGCGGTTGGCCATGAGCGCGGCGTTGCCACCAGTCGAATAGACGGCTGATGCCTGGGCGTCTGCGGCGGCCACTGTGTGTGTAGGCGATGACACCACGTAAGTGAGCGTGTATGTCTTGTGCGTTGTGTCGTGTGTCGCGTGTACCCAGCCGCTCGAACAGGGGCACATCGGCCACGTAGCGCTCGGCGGCGCTTCCCTGCTTGAAGTAGTGGCCGAACGTCTCCTGCAGGTCACTGCGCGATTGTGGAGGCGATGAGCCACGCGGCCTTGAGTGGTGGGTGGAGCGGGAGCGGGAGTGGGCGCGGGCGTGGACGACGTACGTGGCAGAGGAGATGACCGGGTGCTCGGTGGGTCCCTGCGGCGGTTGGACTCCAAGAGCCTGTACCACCTCCAGCGCATCGACGACCAGGTCCAGATTCGTGTTGTAGCCAAGACCTGATGTCGAATCGGCCCACGTACGCAGGAGAAAATGAGAAAGATGATTTCTGTAGAGATGACACCATTCGAGAATTCGTAAGATAAGGAGGTGGGCTGGGGCACCTATGAAGAGGGGCAGAGGGTGTCGTGTACGGAGAGCCTTCTGGAGTGCGCCAAGGAGGGCCGCTTCACGCCCAAAGGGGCCGTCAATCGTTCCCTTCTGGCTGGAGGAGGGGAGAAAGGCGACACGATCACCATAGTAGGAGTGTAGCAGCACGGCCACCAGCGCCACAAGTCCAGCCACCTTGACAATGACCGCCACCATCTTCTTGGTCGAACAGAACTCCCACACACTATTTCTTTTCCCTTTTCCCTGATTTAAAGGCAAGAAAAAAAAAGCGCAAAAGAACACAGAAGGTTTGTTTCCGTCGACACAGTACGATCACGGTATCCTGGTTATTGTGTGCTTTGTGGCACACGTAGCCGTTGGGCAACAACCGTGGTTGTGTTCGGGAACGCAGCACAAGATACAGGGAAGAGAAGAGAAACTCTTGACAAATAGACACATAGGACATAAAGGAAGAAGAGAGAAGAAGAGGAGGCAGGAAGCAATTTCGACAGACGAGAAGCAAAAAATAGAGCGAGGGCGAACGAAGTAGAATCAATTTTTTAAACAAATGTTGGGTGCGCCCGGCGGGAGCAGGCCGACGTCGTTCACGGGCCTCTTCTCATCCTCCGCCGGCAACGCCAAAGATGAAGACGAATTCTTTTATTATTTCGGCGATGTGAGCACGGGCGAGGTGTGGAGGGAGCGGAAGGACTGCCTCTACCTCTCCGTCGATGAAGACGAAGATGAAGGGGGCGGCAGCCGTATCATCTTCGGGAGCGGAGACTACCCCCTCCTCACCCCCTCCACGACCTCGTCTTCGTCGTCCACCTCCTCGTCGGACGAGTACGGGCGCAACATCGATCGCAGTTGGATCGAAGATGAAAACGAGCGGGACCAGCGCGAGCGCTGGCAGCGACACCGACGCCGCAAGGAGATACGCCGACGAAAGCGAAAGCGACGAGAACGCGAAGCCAAAGAACGAAAGCGAAACGAAGCCAAAGAACGAAGGCCGCGAGGGGAGGGGGGAGGCGAGAGCCAGAGCGAGGAAGGCTCGGCCGCGGCCGCAGCGACGGCTGCAGCGGGTGGTCGAGGCAGAGGGGAGGAGGACTACGACGACAGCGCCGAGGACAGCTACGACGACTCGTCGTCGTCGAGCGGGTGGGAGCTGGAGGAGATGGAAGAGCGGGAGCTCAGGGAGCGGGCCATCTCGCTTCGCGCCCTGCGCAAGGCGGCCGGATTGACGGTCGAAGGTGGCGACGTCGGTGGTGCGGATGCGATGGCGCGTAGCGGGAGCAGCGACTGGGCGCGCCAGGGCTTCGCGGCGGGCGCGGACGGAACGAGCAAAAAATTCTCGGGCTCGTTCCGGCGGCTGCTGCGGGAGGAGAGCACAAAGGGCGGCCAGACGCTGCTGGTCATCTCGGCCTCGCCGCTCACCAAGCGACGCGAAGAACGAAAGCGACGCCGCGCCCAAAGAGCGAAGGAGGCTGCCGCCGCCGAAGGAAGCGGCGCCGAGAACGCGAAAGAGAAAGAGAAAGCGAAGAAGGACAAGGAGGGAAAGAGCGAAGGCGGCGCCAAGCGGAGCCTCGCGTTCTTTGGCGGCGGCGGCGGCGAGCCCAAGCCCGACGAAAGAGAGAAAGCGAAGCGGAAGCTGATGATGGCCGCCAACAACGCTTCCGCGTCGTCCTCGCCACCCAAGGCCAGCGCGACCACGTCGCCGTCACTGGGCCGCAAGGCGCGTCCCGTGTCGAGCTACGCCGCCGCCGCTTCATCTTCATCATCGGGCGTCTCCTTCGCGTCATCCAAAGAGCGAAGCGGGGGCAAGCCAAGCGACGCTGGCGGCCTCGCGGGCAAGATGGCCAAGAGCGGCGGGGTCAAGCTCGACGTGCGCGCGGTGAAGGAGAAGTACTTTGCGTCGGCGTCAACGTCGCCGCAGGCACCGGGCGGCGGCGACGACGAGGCCGACCCGAAGAAGCGGCAGAAGAAGAAGGAGAAGCAGGAAACGAAGAAGAAGGTGAAGAAATCGTCGTCGATGATCTACTCGCGCGAGGCCATCATCAAGGCTCGCGACAAGGCCAACGCCAGCCCGTCCCAGGACGACTCCACCGCTCGACCTGTCACTCGCAAGGTGTGTCGTGTTGTGTGTCGTGCGTGTCGTGTGTCGTGTGCACGAATGAAGCTAACCACTCGGCTATGGGACAGGCGAAGGTGATGGTGAAGAGCGACGACGAGCTGACGGCCGCGCGTGCGTCGCAGGAGACCGTGGAGACGATGCGCCGCGAGCGATCGATGACGCTCGAGAACATCCCTCCCGCCGCCACGATCTCGCCCTCCGCCATTCGGCGTGCGCCGGGCGGCAGCCCGTCGTTGTCGTCGGCCTCCTCGTCGTCTAGCTCGTCGTCGTCCATGCTGTCGCCTCGGTCGGCCCTGGCGTCGCCCATGTACGGCCTCCTCTCCAAGTCGTCGGCCTCGGCGCTCACGGCCTCGAAGAGCGGCCCAGCGCGCAAGGTCAAGGTCGCCAAGAAAAAAGCGAAGAGCGAAGAGGAAACAACTAAAGCGACAACCCCCCGCACGCGCTCCGACGGGGAGGCCGACCCGTCTTCGCTCTCCTCGCCCGGCGCCTCCAACCGGCGAGCCGAGAGCGAAGGCGAAGAGGCGCGGCGGCCGATGACGGCGACCACCAGCGACGACGACTCACGGTCCGAAGGCAGCAGCAAGGGCCGCCGGCCCAAAGACAAGAACAAGATCAGCCGCAGCGAGAAGAAGGCCCTCAAGAAGCAGATCGCCGAGAGCAGCAGCAGCAGCAAGGAGCTGACGACGACGCCGAAAAAGAAGAGCGGCGGAAAGAACGAAAAGCGACGGCGGGGGCTGAGCAGCGGGCGGTCGCAGAGCGAGGAGAGCGAGAAGAGCGAACGCGAGTGCAGCAGCAGCGGGCGCGGGGAGGACAGCGGCAGCGAGAAGCGCGTGCGGGCCAAGGACCGAATCGTGCGGCCCGACGGCGCCGACGACGACACCCCGCGCTCGCCCAGGCAGGGGGCGAAGGAGGGCGACGCGCAGGTGAGCGCGTTCCTGCGATCGCTGGGCCTCGAGAAGTACATCGAGGCGTTCGTCCGGGAGGAGGTGGACTGGCTCGCGCTGCGTCTGATGAAGGTCGAACAGTTCAAGGAGCTCGGCATTCCCATGGGTCCACGCACCAAGATCGCCTGGGGGCTCGAGGAGCGCGCCAAGGCCGAACGCGAAGGCGGCAGCGCTGTCGAAAAGAACGAAACCGAAAACGACGATGGCGCCGGTGCCAGCGCGGACAAGACCACGACCCAACCGGAGCCGGCTGGCGCAAGTGTCGACAGTGATACATGCGTGTCCGCAACCATGGCGACTCCGCAGCCGGACGAGGAGGCAACGGCGGCTTCGGCGGCTTCGCGGGTACAGCAACCACTCGGCCACGGCACCGGTGTCGACGCCACGTCAGCACTGACGCCATCGTCGTCGCAGTCGTTCACGCCGGTGTCGTCGCAGTCGTTCACGCCGGTGTCGACACCGACGCCGACGCCCCGTGGCGACGGCCAAGGCTCGTCGACATTTGCGGCGGTGTCGGCGACAGAGAGCGAGAGCGAGACCACCGGCGAAGGCGGCCTTGCTGACGTCAGCACCTCGCCGCAGCCCGACAAGGCCAAGAGCCGTCGGGAGATTCTGGGCACGCTCGGCCGCGCGCAGGTTCTGCGAGCCAAGAGCGGTCAGCGCAGCGGCGAGTTCGCTACGATCTCCGCCGGGGCCGCGGCCGCCACAGACGCCCGCAAGGCGCAGACCGTGACGCTCAACCCGCAGCAGATCCAGGAGATCCAGCAGCACCGCCAGCGTGCCCAGGCCGAAAAGGCCGCGGCGGCGGCTGGGACGACAGAGACGCCAAAATCGCCCGGCGCGCTGCCGAGCGAGAAGCTGGGCATCCCCAAGGGCCACATCACCCAGCTCCGCGCACGGTACCACATTCCTCCTCACATTCCTTGACATGTGAAGCTATGCAGATTCCTGAACATTGTGCGCATTCTTTGGGGGCACGCAGGTTCGAGCTCAAGTCCTCGATGGAGGGCAGCGGCGGAGGTGACACCTCATCGCCGCCATCGCCATCGTCGTCGTCATCAACCAACGCCGCGTCGAGTGGCGGCTCAATCGGGGCGGCGGCCGCGCGTCGGCGCCTGTTCCTCTCCGAGCGCAACCTGCCGCGCGTGCAGCACCCCGCCGTGCCGCTCTCCTTCATCGCCGAGCGCTCCCAGGCCCAGGCCAAGAAAGACGATCAGTCGGCCACCACCACCAGCCCCGCGGCGGTGGCCCCCAAGCTCGCACAGCCGACCACTGCCCCGGCGCTCGAGCAGCTGACGTCACCCGACACGCCGGTGTCGACACGAAACAACGATGGTCAGCCTGCGGAGCTCACGCCCGTCGTTGTCGCTGTCGACAGCAAAGAGGAGCCCACGGCCCAGGCCGCCGCGGTCGTGGCGGTCGTCGTCGACCACCCAAAGAGCGAAAGCGACAAAAAGAGCGAAAGCGGCGAAAGAACGACGTCGGCCAAGTTCGACGCGTCGCAGACATCGAGCCGGGAGTACTCGAGCGAGAGGCCGCCGGTGCGTGATCCGCCCCACGAGCGCGCCGTGGATGACCTCCACCCGGCCCCCGCCGACGACGACGGAGGCGACTCCGAAGAGGGCGGAAACGATGACGATGACTTTGAACGCGACTGGGACCGGGTGACCAGGCTCGAACTGGATCCAGCTCAGCGAAGCCACTCGTCCAAGAAGAAGCCGCGCCAGCACCAAGACGTGCACCACGGCCACAACAAGAAGGACAACAACAACAGCAACAGCAACGGTGACAAGAAGTCGAAGAAGCCGGTCGGCAAGGAAAAGAAGAAGGAAAAGGAAAAGGCCAGGAAGGAAAAGGCCAAGCGGAAGGAGAAGGCGTACGCCACCGACAGTTCGCCGAGCGACGACGAAGACGACGACGATGAGATGGTGGAAGAAACCGGCGGACGACGCGCCGTCATGGCGTCAGCCAGTTCGAAGCCCGGCCTCGCCGTGCACCCTGGCACCAACAGCCTGGCCAAATCGCGGTCGCCTCGCGCGGCTGCGGCGCCGGCGGCGTCGGCGGAAACAAAGGCGTCGAAGGCGAAGCCGAGCACTAAGAAGAAGACCCACAAGCGCAGCAACTCGACGGCGGCCAAGCCGAGCGCTTCCAACACGATCGTCATCGCCGGCGGCCTAAGGCGCGGCGGGGCGAGCGACGAGAGCGATGCGACGACGAGCGGCGGCAGCGGGTCACGGCAGCGGGGGCACACCACCGGTGCCAGCGGCGGCGGCGGCGGGGAGCTGGGCAAGCAGCTCAAGCGGCGGAAGAGCTGGTCGTCCCCCTCCAAGGGCGTACCCGACAAGATCGACCGCGGCGGCGGCGCTGCCACGTCATCATCATCGGCATCATCAGCATCCGCGTCATCCAATTCCTCGGCTGCCACGTCATCGCCCGGCTCCAAGGTGCGCAGCTCTCGTGGTCCCATCTATTGGGTCGTTCCCTCTCTTTTCGACTAACAATCGAACCACGTGAAACGCGACAGGTGAGGAGCAACACGATTCGAGTCAAGAACAGCTCCTCGGGCGGATCCAGTCTCGCCAAGGGCTCCATCAAGTCGCGATCTCGCACAAACCTTGGTACCTACCTACGCTCGAATCCATGTGTGTGCGGTTGTGCGGTCGTCCGTGTGCCGTGTGCCGTGTGGCCAGAGAGCTAACACGTTCTGTTTATAATGTGACAATTGATGGTGCAGAGGGCCAGCAGAACATCAGCATCAACACGCGCACGGAGAAGAATTCGATCATCACCAAGCTCGACCTCTCCTTCGCCGGCGTGTCGTACCAGATCACCTCCTCGCCCTTCTCCTCCAACTCCTCCAACTCCCACTCCTTTTCCGAGGAAGACGACGACATCGACAACAACCAGGACCGCGACAACCATCATTACCGGCGCCACCATCAACATCAACACCAACATCACCGTCAGCGTGTCGACGACGACGATGATGACGATGACGACGATAACTCTGACGACGTCGAGGAGAGCGGGAGCCGCCGCCAGCTGCGCGCGGAGGCGGAGCGCCAGGCGCGCGAGAAGGAGCGGCTGGCGCGCGAGCGGGAGAAGGAGCAGCGCGAGCGCGAGAAGGCGCGGGCGCGCGAGAAGGAGATTGAGTCGGAGCGGATTGAGCGCGAGCGGGCGCGCGAGGAGCGCCTCAAGGCCGAGCTCCGCCAGCGGGAGCGCGAGGAGCGCGAGCGCGACGGCGTCCTGCGGCTGCAGCAGAAGGGCGACCCGTCGCGCTTCTCGCTCCGCAATCTCCTCTTCACCCCGCGCGCCAACTCCAAGCGCGGCAACCTCACCGGTGGCTCCACGTCATCACCATCAACATCATCATCATCATCGCCCTCTTCATCATCGTCGTTCTCGTCGACATCGTCATTGTCGCAATTCCATTCGTCGTCGTCGCGAGGCCTCAGTGCGAGCCCGCCCAGCGGCGGCTCGATGCAACACGGCCTCGGCAGCAGCGGCGGCGCCGGCGGAGGAGGCAACGACGGCTACAGCAGTGGCGGTGGTGGCGGGCGGTGGCGGGGCGATGTGAGCGGCAGCGAGAGCGCGAAGGGGCGGAAGGACCGGGACAAGGAGTGGGAGAAGGCGATCGACAAGGAGCGCGAGCGGCGCCAGCGCGAACGCGAGAAGCTGCGGGTGGAGCGCGAG